GCGCTTCTTTCTTCATTGTAGGTCCGGAAGACTGCTGCTTAGTGTTGCGCACACGTTTAGGTCAATTTTGGGCTATACTTTGATGCTATGCGCCATGTCTTTCAATAGTTACATTTTTATTACTATGGCGATTGGCGCTGCAGTTGGGTATTACATGTTTGGACACCAAATTTTGGATCAAAAGTGGAAATTGGCTTTCTTGCGCACACGATCAAGAAACGCCTCCGCTGTGGATATAAGACCAGAAGTGTTCCAGCAGGAAGTGGAAGTGATGGAATCTTGATCAAGTAATTGATTCATGTGATTTTTTTTTCGGCTGTGGTTGGTCCTCCGATATTTATTCTTTACTGCAGTACAAGTATGTCTCAATTACAACTTTCCCATTAAAATTTACTGTATCTTATTAATCACACAAATGACCTGTTCCACACACATGGCTACCTTTATTTCAACTTCCTGGATAGAATGACGACGTCAAAAAAGATAAAATCAATTCGGAGATCTCGCGTTTCGAATCATGGATTGCGAACAGATCAGAAATCATTCACTGAGACCGTGGTTCCATTTGGACCAAAGGTGATGATTGATTGAACATTTCTGAAATTCTTCAAATTCACGAACATTGGACGGATCGTTTAAAAAAAAAAAACTTCCCGGAAAGAGACAGACATGGAACAAGCTCGACAGGTACTCAGAATATACCCTCCCATGTAAAGAAAAAAAAAACACACATTTGTGCGGACGAAGGTACGAAAGTGAACACGATCGTTGCAAACGATATGGCTGAATAAACTCGTCAAAATATTCTCCCGTTCAAAGTTACCCCTGAACTACCGTAAAAGCCGGACGGCATCGGTTTCTTCCGATTATCTTCCTCCTCTTCCTCAATTTCCTCGTCACTCTGCCCACTGTCGTCGTCGTCGTCGACAGCATCACGTCCACCGATGCCCCCTAATTGTACACCAACCGCCTTTGAAACGGCGTCCAACGTTTGCGCGTTCACGTAATAGGCGAGATTCAGATTCGGCAACCTGCTGCGCATCTCATTGATGATCCCGTGGGCTGCTTGGTACTGCCTCTGCTGCGCGAAGTACTCGACCATGAGGCCATAAACATCACCTCTTCTGATGGCCAGTTCGGCGTCAGGTTCGGACACGAGCTGCTTGCACATGGCGATGGCTTGACTGGGATTATCTTCGTAAAGTCTAGGGTAATAATGAATTCATAATAATTATTTGAATAACTCGATTTGAGTCGCGGAAATGATTCAATCCTTGCCTTCGAATCTGGACAAATCGCTGAACAAGTTCAGCTCGTTGCTTTATTTGCTCCAGCTTCTCGTCAACTTGCGGAATATCCGCCCCTCCATTATACGCCTTCGTCAAGGTTTTGTACGCCTCCGTATACGCTTCCAATGCCTTTTCGTAGTTCTGGTACTCGTCGATCTCCACCTTTAGCATTTTCAATAAGTATTCACACATTGAGATGAATATTTACCTCGGGTGCTGCAATGGGATTCCCGCGTAATGTATCTTTCGCAAAAGAGATTCCAGCTGCCGCAGATTTTAGATTCAAAAAGAACCTCCTCAGAGACATGAACTGCATCAACCGAGTTAGATCTTGAAAAAATAAATAAATTTTGCTGTGGAAATATGATTGTTGGATACATCTAAGTTTGACATGAAGAGGCAAAAAATGTGTGAAGCTAGGCGAAAAATTGCATTTTTCTGTTGTTTAATGTTCATCCATCATCTAAAATGCAGAAAAGATTGGTGAAACAACAAAAATTTCAATTTTTTAGTTAGCCTGACAGATCTTAGCATCCTGTGACAAGAGCAGAGAACTTTGGCTGTAACTGGAAAATGTTCACTCATCATCATGGAGTAGATTGAAAAGCTTTTCTAAAAATGAAAAAAAAAACTCCAGACTCTTAGAATATTGTGGGCATTATTATTATCATTATCATTAATCATTAACATTATCATTTATTATTATTATTTTTTTTATCCAATGAAACCTTTTCTGAAAATATCAGAGGTTGCGCCCAACTGGGACAACCCTTATATGCACATCTTTAAAAGCATTTATTGACAAATTAAATGTCCTGAGAAAAACTGTACTGTACAAACCTGAGCACAGGCAACGTAAAAGCCAGCCAGCAAGTCAAGCGCTTTTCCCTTGTTGTAAAACGTGATGATGTTCTTCATGATGCTCGGATCCTTCCTCCAATCCAAGCTCTGCAAACAAAAATTTCAATTTTTTAGTTAGCCTGACAGATCTTAGCATCCTGTGACAAGAGCAGAGAACTTTGGCTGTAACTGGAAAATGTTCACTCATCATCATGGAGTAGATTGAAAAGCTTTTCTAAAAGTGAAAAAAAAAAACTCCAGACTCTTAGAATATTGTGGGCTTTGTCATTTATTATTATTATTTTTTTTTATACAATGAAACCTTTTCTGAAAATTGCCAGTCAAACTTATCTCAGTGTGACTGTGGATAAATCTTACTGGCAATGATTCGACACAATATAAGAATACTGAGTCTATTCACATAAGCACACTGTTGCACACAATAAACAGAGAGGTCCGCACAGTTCGGAGGTTCGAGGTAGAATGAGGCTTGGCGTGCCCCTCGTTACACAAGATGGCCGGTTGTTGGCGCGCGGGCCGTTGCGCCGGCGTACCCTGATTGGGTAGAGATCTGAACGAAGCTCGATTCGAATACGCGTTTGTACAAGTCGCGCGGGACTAATGGCCGCTGGCCGTTACTATATCAGGGGTTGCGCCCAACTGGGACAACCCTTATATGCACATCTTTAAATGCATTTATTGACAAATTAAATGTCCTGAGAAAAAAGTGTACTGTACAAACCTGAGCACAGGCAACGTAAAAGCCAGCCAGCAAGTCAAGCGCTTTTCCCTTGTTGTAAAACGTGATGATGTTCTTCATGATGCTCGGATCCTTCCTCCAATCCAAGCTCTGCAAGTAGTTGGCCGCCATGACGTAAATGTCGCGCTCTCGACTCACGTTCGCAAAGAACGTTATCTTCTCCGTGTCTCCGCTCTTGAGCAACGCTTTCATGGCCTTCATCTTGTTTCCGGCTTGCGTGAATTTTTTCGTAGCCAAGCGATAGTCGCCTTGCTCAAACGCGCACTCCCCGATTTTCTCCAACAATTTCACGCGCGCAGCTTCGTCTTCTTCGCCTCGTTCTATGGTCATTCGGTCCGCGATTTCTTCCGTGATCGGAATGTTGTGTTCCACGCAGAGATCCAAGGCTTCAAAATACTGCGAAGGAAATTCAATCCAGATTTCAGTTACAGCAACGATCCTCGACTGAACGCACAAAAAATGAAGAATTACAGTAGAATCTCTCTCAATAACGGATTTATGCTTAAAAGGGATTTATTTTTTCTTCCTTGTCTGATAGTCACAATGCTATTTCGATTTCGTTTTGACGGATTCCCGTTCATAGCGAATTTGTTTTTTAAAGATAAAAAACGCTTTGTTGTAATGAGAATCTACTGTAATTCCAAATATAGTGCGGAAAAATTTGACTTGAGCGACTCCAGAAGAAGAATCAGTACTGTTCAGTCAGGAATTCGTGTTCTACAATTAAACATTTCTGCAAAAAAAAAGCTCAAGCTTAAATTTTAGGAAATCTCTGACAAATCCAAACATTTTGAACCTCTCTTAGTCTTAGTTTCGAATCCTTCGCGCTATTAAATTGGGGTTCAATTTTAATCACCTGATGCAGAGAATATGCAAGTTTTCATTTTAATGCTTTCTCACAAGGAATTCGGCAAATTCCAGCACATAGGATATCTAAGAAATACAGACTCATATATAATTTTTAACTCTTCTGATAATTACGCCAGGAAATTATTTCTTGACTCTTGACGCTACCCAACATACCCTCTTTCCGACGGCCAGCAAATTCGTCGCCTTGTCAAATTGACGATTCTCTATGAAAAACTTTACGCAACGGTCGAGCGTGGCAGGATCCGTGTTGGAGTCGAGATCCAAAGCAATCATCTGCAACTCAGAATACTTCTGCGCCCTGCAATTCAAATGATTAGGTACACGAGAGTTTTAGAAGAAGGAAAAATAAAATACTGAAACAAAAGAGAACTCACTTGAACGCAAGATCCAATGCTTTTGAAAGCAGACCAGCTCTGTGGTATAAAACGATCGCTTTGTCCAGTTGGGGCTTCTCCATATTTTCGAAATGTCTCGCGGCATCGATTTGCTCCTTGGGACCCGCCAACTGACCAAGTGACAACAACTGGTCTTCCATTCCATTCTCCTAAATTAAAAAATGACTTTAAATGAAAATGAAAAAAAAAAACATGCACTCAGTTTACACGCGCGCTCTGGAGATGAAGAGCAGAAGAGAAAGAGAGAAATTTCAAGGGCCCCAAAGACTCAACTTTAAACAATTGGGACTAAAATTTCTCAACATCACGCGACGTCGACGCATTTAAGGGAATATATTTCAAAGAAACTTTCTCTCGAGAAACAATACGAAAACTGGCCGAGTCATCGCACCAATCAAATTCACCTTACAAATCCGCATGGCATTGGCAAAGGCCTGCGCACGGGTATAAAAGTGGATGGCCTCCCGAACCATGTCATTGTTCTCGTACTGTCGTGCCAAATGGTAACACGCGGCCCGGTCGCCGCTTTCGTTGGCGATCCGCGCCGCCGTCTCCAGCTCGCCGCAGTAGCAGTGCACTCGCACCAGCGACAAGGCGTCCTTCGCACTTTCGTAGAACTCCAACGCAGCCTCCATCTCCCCAGTACTCTCCAAGTACTGCGCCCACCACTTCTTCAACGCTCTACAAATCAATAAAAAAATAGTTCGAAGAAATGAAAACCCGATTAACTCACCNCGCGCGCAGCTTCGTCTTCTTCGCCTCGTTCTATGGTCATTCGGTCCGCGATTTCTTCCGTGATCGGAATGTTGTGTTCCACGCAGAGATCCAAGGCTTCAAAATACTGCGAAGGAAATTCAATCCAAATTTCAGTTACAGCAACGATCCTCGACTGAACGCACAAAAAATGAAGAATTACTGCAGAATCTCTCTAAATAACGGATTAATGCTTAGGACGGATTTGTTTTCTTCCTTGTCTGATAGACACAATGCTGTTTCAATTTCGTTTCAACGGATTTCCGTTCATAGCAAATTTGTTTTTTAAAGATAAAAATGCTTTGTTGTAATGAGATTCTACCGATTCCAAAGAAGTGCGGAAAAAATTGAAGTGAGCGATTCCAGAAGAAGAACTGTTCAGCATACACTTCAACATCTCTAGCTTAAATTTCAGGAAAATCTCGGGCAAATACAAATATGACTAATGCATCTTAAACCTCTCTTCGTCTTAGTTTCGAATCCTTCGCGCTATTAAATTGGGGTTCAATTTTCATCACCTGATGCAGAGCATATGCAAATTTTCATTTTAATGTTTTTTACAAGGAATTCGACAAATTCCAGCACGTAGGATATCTAAGAAAGACCAACTCTTATAATTTTCAACTCTTCTGATAATTACGCCAGGAAATAATTTCTTGACTCTTCACTTAGCCCAACATACCCTCTTTCCGACGGCCAGCAAATTCGTCGCCTTGTCAAATTGGCGATTCTCTATGAAAAACTTTACGCAACGGTCAAGCGTGGCAGGATCCGTGTTGGAGTCGAGATCCAAAGCAATCATCTGCAACTCCGAATACTTCTGCGCCCTGCAATTCAAATAATTAGGGACACGAGAGTTTTAGAAGAAAGAAAGAAAAAAATCTGAAACAAAAGAGAACTCACTTGAACGCAAGATCCAATGCTTTTGAAAGCAGACCAGCTCTGTGGTACAAAACAATCGCTTTGTCCAGTTGGGGCTTCTCCATATTTTCGAAATGTCTCGCGGCATCGATTTGCTCCTTGGGACCCGCCAACTGACCAAGTGACAACAACTGGTCTTCCATTCCATTCTCCTAAATTGAAAAATGACTTTAAATGAAAATGAAAAAAAAAACATGCACTCAGTTTACACGCGCGCTCTGGAGATGAAGAGCAGAAGAGAAAGAGAGAAATTTCAAGGGCCCCCAAGACTCAACTTTAAACAATTGGGACTGAAATTTCTCAACATCACGCGACGTCGACGCATTTAAGGGAATATATTTCAAAGAAACTTTCTCTCGAGAAACAATACGAAAACTGGCCGAGTCATCGCACCAATCAAATTCACCTTACAAATCCGCATGGCATTGGCAAAGGCCTGCGCACGGGTATAAAAGTGGATGGCCTCCCGAACCATGTCATTGTTCTCGTACTGTCGTGCCAAATGGTAACACGCGGCCCGGTCGCCGCTTTCGTTGGCGATCCGCGCCGCCGTCTCCAGCTCGCCGCAGTAGCAGTGCACTCGCACCAGCGACAAGGCGTCCTTCGCACTTTCGTAGAACTCCAACGCAGCCTCCATCTCCCCAGTACTCTCCAAGTACTGCGCCCACCACTTCTTCAACGCTCTACAAATCAATAAAAAAATAGTTCGAAGAAATGAAAACCCGATTAACTCACCTGAAAGAATTGAAAATTATACTCTAACTTTTCTACAGCACAAAGGCTTGTTTCAAGTCTGGGGTTCGATTTGGAGAAAACAAGGGTTGTTCCAGTTGGACGTGACCTCGGATATTTTTAAAGTAGGTGTGATAGTAAAAAAAAAATTCAATAGTCCATAATTTTCCAAGGTTCTGGGATTAAAAAAAAATTGTTCAAGCAATTTACTTCAAGGTTAGAAGTTAAACATTTTCAGTTACAGCTGGAGTTCTCCACCCTTGCCACAGGGTGCTAAAAATGTGTTCAGCCAGCTAAAAATTTGCATTTTTTGATTTCAGGCATCATATAAAATGTAGAAAAACTGTGGGCAAAACAAAAAAGCAACTTTTTAGCTAGACATGGGTGGAGAACTCTGGCTGTAACTGGAAACTTTTTACTTAACATCATGCAGTCACAGTAATTGTAATATACCACAATCTTAGAACATCGTGGACCATGTCATTACTCCATTTTTTTTTTTTACAATTACACCTAATCTAAAAATATCTGAGGCCGCGTCCAACCGGGACAACCCTCGTACAGTATTTTGACGCACAAACATCGATACACAGAAAACCCAAAGGACTTGATTTCAATTTGATTACATCAGGCACCCGATATAATCAAAGGTATTCTTCCCCAACAATGGTAAAACTTGAAAGAAACAGAGCAAAATTTAACTCACGGATCTTTTGATTGCACGACGTATGCTTCCAACGCGGCGGGGTCATCGAACAGCATGCGAGGAACCTCAAAGCGCTGGGTATCGGATTTTTCGAAGTAGTTTATGGCTCCGCTTATATCGCCTGTTGAGAACGTCAAACAAAATGTGTTTGATATGCAGTTTTAATCCCTCCAGTTGACAAATGAAACGTGTTTCTTCCAGTCAAAGAACAGCCACACGTACTCCGAAGTAAGTAGAGAATTTCCGAATTTGTTCTTTCCTCCACGAACAAAAAGTCTTATAGGATAGTAATTTCTAAAATTTATCTGAATCCCATCCCTTACAAGACATAGAAATGTTCGTGTACCAATGCACCTCATGGATATTATTAGTCGTGACTTGAATTAAAAAATAAAGATGTACAGTATCAGTTTGCGATACGACAGTTTTAAAATCGCCACCCGAAACCTCCGCATTCAGAATGCAACTTTCGGGGTTTTTTATGATTGTAAAAAACTAAAAATTAAATAACAAGGATGATGTGAACGCCGTTCGAAATGCCGCCTATGAAAACTTGACAATTTTTGAAGTCCGTGGGCTACCGGTATTAAGGACTTCGAGATATGCTTACAAAATACCCTGTCTAATTAATGAGCATATCATATTTTAAGGACATTAGGACACGCAGCACAGTATATCACTAAGAATAGTTAATGACATGGTAAAAAGATTGATGCAAAAATTAGACTTGGACTCAAAAACGCGAATGAACATTTTGACTTGAATTCAAAATGAGGATCCATCAGTTCGCAATATTGTGGTTTCAAAATTGCCACACAAAATCTCCGCGGTCAGATTTAAGCTTCCTGGGTTTTATCAATTTGATTTTTTACTCCAGATCATTTTCCAAAATTTCGAATTTTCATCTCTCTGATCAAAAAAGTGGCATTATCAGTGGCTATTTCGTCCACTTCTCAAATTAATCAACTGCTTTACTTGAAAAGCCTACCCCTCCGCTAATTTCGCGGATCACCAATTGAAAGCCCTGTTCTAAAACGAGGTCGACTTTATAATAACAAAAATTATCAAACCCTGAGCTTCCAAGTGTCTCGCATAGTTGAAAGAAGTGGTCCTGAGGTGGATTCGGTCCACGTCTGCCGCAGTGTCCAGGGCCTCGGCCCAACGATTGGACCCCTGATAAACCTTGTTGAGCAAGTCGAAGCGGCCACAGGCCCGAAACAACCGCTCAGCTTCGTCCACCATGCCCAGTTGCAGGGCCAGCACACCTGCCCGGGCGTCCAGCGGCAACTGCTTCCCGCCCGAGTCCACAGACATCTCCCTGAGGCAACGGGCGCCGCGAGCGTGGCCCATGTTGCCCAGACACACGGCCGCCACGTCCAGTCGCTTGCTCTTCACACACATCTTGGCCATGTTCTCCCACACGGTTTCACTGAAAGAACGTTCGAAAAATTCAGTCGGAAGAGACAATTTTCCAATCATGCTTCAGCGTGTACCTCTTTATGGTTTTGATGGCCTTGAACGCTTCGTCCATGTTTCCAATGCATAAAAAGTAGGAGAAATTCATCATCGCGTCCCGCACGCTTTTGTCCTTTGCCTCCAGGCCAACGAAGTCCCGCATGACTCTTTGCTTCACCATCTTCCCCTTGAAAAGCGATCTCAGCGTGAAAAAAGTTCAGATCTTCGTGAGAAAAATAAAAATGAAAAACTTACAGATTTCGATTCAACGCATTCCGGTTTCGTCAGGAGGTAGAAAAACGGCGTTTGAACACCCAATAGACGACTGATGTCGTTATCGAGGGGGAAAAAGTCTTGGACTACGAGTCCCCCGCTGTCAGCAGTCGCAAACATCGATACCACAATAATCTCCGCCTATTTAAAAAAATATAAATTTTCAGACTCATCTAGATTCAAACTTCTCATTTATTTCAATTAATCCTCCATTCAGATTTGAAAATTAATTAACAAAATAAGGAAGCAATTTTTCACGTCTTGAAATATTATATCATAATAAACAATACGCTTCTTTCTCGTCAGTCATTATTTTTTCAAGTGTTCCGGGCATTCTTTCAAACGTTTGCGATCATCACTGAAAACTAAGCGACAGAAAATTAAAAAATAAATTGTTTTTCGCCAAAAAGAAGGCAGAAAAAGTGGCAACTAAATCTCATCACGTGCTTCCAACAATTAAACTGAAGTGTAGCTGCATAATTTCGAACAAAATGCAATTGAACCTCGAGAACTCGAACCTCCCTACGTCGACTTCCTCTCTGAAAGTCCTCCGATAACCTTTCTGAAAATGTATTTTTTCCTAAAATATATACTGTATTCTTTACAATCCATTCTACCTCTTCCCTCTGGAAAATGGCAGCAGTACTTACCCTAGTACATTCAAATCTAACCCAGGTCAAGGGGATTCACGTTTTAAAGAACAAAAAGAACCGACCTTGTCGACAAACCCAGAGCGCTTGCTGTCCAAAAAAACTGAAGTCGTGGTCCTCTTCCGCCGACCCCTACCCCCGTCGCCCGACGACGAAGACGTCGTCGTCGCCGCCTGAGTGCTCAACAACGGGAGCACCTTGGCTTCCACGACGACGAGCCGGGGTTCTTCGGCGTCCCAAAAGTGACTGAGCACGAATCGGCCGCCAACGTCACGGGCCGTCTCCAATTTGGCCCGATCCGCGGCGGTCACGTCACGGGAATGAGTGGATTCCGCGGAATTGGGCGGCGGGGAATTGTCGTCGTCCTCGCCGCGCCCGGACGCGAAGTTGAAGTAAAGGACAGTGTCGGATTCCACGTCCCAAACATAGAGTTTAGGGTCTGGCAACAGACTCGCCTACGACCGAACCGAAATTAACTGTCACAAATCATACCTCAGAGGTAAGTACAGTACGGTATGAAGTCATATTTCACACAATGAGCGCTTCGTCAGGAAACTTGATTTTCAACTCGAACGAAAATCGCCCGGAATTAATACCTTAGCCATTACATTCTCAAGTATAGAGAGAATTAGGATAAGCCGTGATGAATGCGCAAGAAAAAATAATAACCGCATGTATTCTTTCACGATTTTATTTTCTTTGCGTACTTTCGACGCTTCGTTGATATTCTCTTCATTACTTGCGCGTTCTTCGAGGATGGATTATCTCAATTTATTTTCAATGAATGTTACTTATTTATCTGAATTATCCATTCAATAGTGTTTGAATCTTCATTAAGTACTGCTAGTTCAGAACAGTGTTTCTCCCCGCAGTCCACCTCCATACTTATTTTCTTTCATAACCGCGAGAAGAATACGCTTGTTGTCACATAGATGTCACCTAAATCTGTGACGTGAGGTCGTAAATAGATTCTTCTTACATTTGCTCATGGTACGTTCAGTTGTATTTTTAGCGGAATGCGGGTGGCATAAATTATTATAAGTTTGGTTAGCATTAGTCGGACCAAGGATTTCAAGCGACATCTTCTGAAAACTACAAAAAGCGAGGTCGAATATAGAAGTGGATTAAGTGACCATGAAAGTTCGCTAAAAATTAGAGATCTTTTAATTTTCAAGGGAGAGAACACGTTGACATCGACTAGAATTTCTTGAACGACTCTAACTGAAGGAATCGGTTGAAAAATAATCGATTATGCTAGTTTTCCATATTTACCGTTTAATCGGCGGTTCATAAATCTTACCAAAAGCTTATGTCAATTCAAAGAAAACATGATTGAGGTCCAACATCGGAACATACCGTGGCGAAAGAAATGCTGACACGTGTCCCAGTACAATTGCATCGCACGGAAATGACTTCTCCGAAATCAACAATCACGTCATTGAGATTCTTTGGTCCAGCATGAGGTCTAGCGTCTCTGAAGGCCAAACAACGGTCCATAAATCATTGGTTGATTTAATAAAAAATAATATGAAAAATCAAAGTTCGTGGAAAATGTTTTCAGCCTTTTTTTTTCTTTTTCTTTTTTACCTGCGTGAAAGATCCCAAACTTTGATGACACCAGTCAAGGAAGCTACGACCAGAAAGTTTCCATTGATATCTAACGCAGTTGGTTCCCCTTCACCTTCCAGAAATGGTAACGTTTGCTTTACAGCACCTTGAAAGCCTCTGACTTGAACTTTGTCCTTTTCAATGCAATACACGCTTTGTTCGTGAACAGCAAGCGTTTCACAGTCCGCATGGAATGCACCTGATTCATCAAGACATTCATTGATCGTGATTGAAACGACAAAAAGTCTCACGGAAGAATGCATGCGAATATAGATAAAACGACAAATAGAAAATGCCATGCGGAAAGACAGAAGAGGAGGCGAAATCGATGTCATAATTTTGGAAATCGCGAACGACTCTCGAAAATATTCCAGCATTCGAATTTTTCGTGCAAAACCACGCTCGCGATTTAGGAAGCCAAGAAACATTCATCCCAACGTGAGAAAAACGATTCATGCTCACTGACACACGTAAAAGTTGCAAGAAAAAATGACAAGGACATTTTTTTAAACTTCTTCAAATTACGGTATGTTTTTCGTACCAGCCCATTGAAATATTGGACGATTCCACAATTCTTTTTCTCGCCCACTTTTTCAAACCTTATAAACAGTACACTTATCCGTGACTCAATTTATCGTGAATCCAAACGTTTCGACAAGAACATTCGACTCGCTGTTATAGACGTAATACTTGGACTCGACAGGAAATTCAACTTGAAGTATTTTCATTTAAAGTCAGAAGGTGCGTGAGAAAGTTTTCTTCTTTGAAATTCAAAAGAAAGTTGCAAAATTACTTCGAGGCCTTCTTAAGTCGAATTTTTGCGATTTTTGTTATTTTCGTTATTTCTCTAATTTAAATAGCAACCAGAAGAAGGCATCCTGTCATTAATTCCTGATAATCCGAAGTTCCAGTGCAGTAGATTTTCCGTTTTCGTTCCTTGCGCCAAAAAATATTTCCGCGCACGTAGATGTCGCTTCAATTCATCTGCATTTTGAACTAAATAATTTAGCTGCTGTGGGTCTCCGTTACAATTTGAGGAAGAGAAAAATTTTCCATTATAACAGACGCCTCATCTTCGACAACAAGCAATCTTCGTGCTGCAAACGCTTTTTCTTCAATTGCATGAGTCACACGGATCGTTTCAGTGAGACACACAGAAATCTCGTGAGGAATACTTTTAAAACTATTACTCTTCTCTTTTATGGAGTAGCCAGGGACTCCAACTTCATGCACGACAACCTTCTTCCCGCTCCAAACAGTGATATTCTCCAGTGTAACAAAAACTCCTTTGACAGGAATCTCAGAATTTAGAGAAAGATGAGAGTCGCCAGCTACTGCGTCAATGACCAACGTCGACGGACCAGTTTGGACGGCGCACATCTATAACCGACAAATGGTGAAAACGACGTCGAAACAAGAACTATTCGGATCTATCAAAAAATATCATCCATTAATCAAAAAAAAAATTTCAACTACGAATTTTAAAAATTCTACGAACAATGCTACAAAATGATGACGCTTCATCGGCAGCATTTTAGCGCAATTCCCGTGACCTGAAAGTTGCGAGGTTCCCAGAATGGGAAGTGATAAAAACAGGCATTTAAAGATTTTTCAAACTAAAGAGAAATCTCGTTATGAGGAATTCATTTTTTGAGGTCTATCAAGTCTAACCATGAAGTAATTTGAGCCTTGTTATAACGAGTTTTCCGCGACAACAAAAGTTTCGTTTTAACGAGATTTTACGGACAAGAAAAATCACGAAAAATAGCGCACGAAAGCACCTTTTCAAGACAGGTTCTCAGTTCATTCGATGAAGTTCGGTTAAGCCAGGTAATTCGCCGAAAACGCTTTCCTTAATAAGGTATATGTGCATGAATGAAAATTTCAAAATGATCTTCGATTTTCATTTTTAATGGTTTGTTTTGCTTGCGTTCTTCGGGGATTTCATTGATTTCCACTCGCGAGGCTTTTTCCTCGTTTACTTTTCGCACACGCACTGTTTCAAGATTCGCCATTTTGAGTTTTATTCAATTTCGTTTCAAGTCTTTCAACTTTCAACAGTACGCAATCCTGCAGAGGCCACGTTTCTAAAGCAAATTATCAGAAGCTACTTCGAACCTACACCCAAATAATTAACGAAGAAACATTCGAAACTAGTCAGCAGATAAAGCAAAAACTAATCTAAATGGAAGAAACCGACGACGAAAAAGAAGAAGTTTCCTTCCACCCGCAGAAGATTTCCATAGAGGCATAAAAGCACCGAAGAAACAAAAGAAAGACAAAGAAGGCCCAAAAATCGAACAAGTTTAAGAAATCCCCCTTTCACCTACTACCAGGCTTTTTATTGTGAAGGATAATTAACCTCGACAAACGATGTCCGACCCTCTGATTTCATAAACAGCCACTTCTTTCCGACTCCAAACAGCAACGTAGCGCGATTCATCGCAATACACCCCGTGGATCGGGATTTTGCCCGAAAACGTCTTGCACGACGTGCCAACAATCGCCAACTCCGTCGGTGACATTTGCACCACGGTCATCTTCCAGCAGGTCGAAAAAAAAAACGTCAGGACTTACCCACATTGTATTTTCGCCCATAATAAAAGCATATCATGGAATAGAATGGACCATGATGTTTTACGCTTCTGGGACTTCTTTCAGATTTTTAAAGAAGTTTTTCAACTTATTGCAGAAGTGAAAAATGTCCTGTTGCAGCCGGAGTCTCCACACACTTCATGGAGAGCTAAAAATTTGTCAGGCCCGCCAAAATACGTAAACTTGTCTAACAAATTATCTTTATGTATTTTATATATTATCTATTCATTCTAAAAATTTGCCGGGCCAGCAAAAAATTAAAATTTTATTTTTTTCATTTTTCACCTACGTAATTATGTTTTTTAACGAATGGTTAGAACAACAAAAAGCCGTTTTTTTAGCGACCATGACAAATTGTCATGCAGTAAATTGAAAAACGCTTAAACAAATTAACGTGTGTCTCATATTCGCTGGAAACTTTTGTTTTCCTTTTTAATGGAAAAATATGCGCCGCATAATTGACGGCAACTTAAATCACGATTGAACAGGACAATGAAGAAATCTGTCGTAGACAATGAAAGCCCCACCTGATCCTTGAAGTGAGCGCAAAGCGTGTGCTCCTTCAGAATGAAAGCGTCTTTCATAGTATTCGCTGCGAGGGCGTTCCGCGACGTTCCCCATCGTAACCCAACCACTGCGCCAGCCATGGCCGTCGGATCGCCATTCCCCAGCGACGACGGCGTCAGCGGCGTCCACTGAGACTCGGCATCACTGTCGCGTCCCGCCGCCGTCTCCGAATGCTTCCAAAACGCCACCCGACCGCAGTTGGTGCCGACGGCCAAGACGCCCTTGTTGCGGGAAAACGACACGCTGGTCACGACTTCGGAGGCGGCGCGACGAGCATCGTCCAAGGAAAGCACGAAATTGTCGCCAGAATCAACGTTCCAGAGTCTGACGTTTGCGTCGCCGCCGCTGACGGCCAAAAGACCTTTTCCTGCCCATGTTATCGTACCGTCTTGTGCTCTACCGCTCAGCTTTACCTAAAAAAAAGCAGTAAAAAAACAAAGAAAATACAGTGGGACCTCGACATACGGACAATTTCTCAAGATGCTGACACTTTTCCAAAATTTCCAGAAGAATAAAAATGTTCTAAATTCTGATATCTATTGAACAAATTGACATTTTGCAACGCATAATTTTTTCATATTTACTAAAATTAAGAAATTCCATTTTAAAATTTACTCTAACTCATTAATAAGGAGTAGGCTAATTTTTAGCTTCTTTTTTCAAAGTTTTTTCCATCATGCGTACACAGTACTGTATAGCTATATTTGTTCTTGTTCTTTCTTTTTTGGGCTTTTTTTTCATACCAGAAGATCAGACCGTGTGTGGTTTTATTCCGCTGTTATTTTCTGTATATTGAAGTTGAAAATACAATTTTATTCAAATTTTTGGGGACTTTATTCCCAATATTTTTGATGAAAAGCAGAAACAATTAGAAATGTTCCGATTCAAGTCAATTCGAAAACATGATTCGACATATGGACGCTCCAACATAGGGACAAGGTCAAAGCACCTATTACGTCCGCATTTTGACACCTCAATGTACTTTTGAATTCTTCTCCCACAGCATGACGAAATAAACAATGTCGATACAAACGGAGAATTCCATCGTCTATTTTCTTCTTTTCAAATCACATTCACGAATTTTTGAACATCAATTATTTACCTTGCTGATTTCTGCCAACCCGCCATCAACATCCACGCTCAATTGCGCCAAAGACATTCCTTCGGTCACAACGACAAGCAGGTCTCTCGTTTCGTGATACAATAATCTTTTGATCGGTCCATCCGACGTCAACACTTCACTGCAACCGCCATGCTCATTGATGTAGTAGATCCGACCTGGAAAAAAAATTGCACACTTCACATAGAACGACGCCATCATCAGCATATTAGAACTGTGACGATCAAAAAGGGAGGGATTTGGAGTTTGCTCGCTTTCCGCCAGTAAAGTAGTGAAGAAAATTATACACTAAAGGTATCTACGATCTGATGCGTTTAAAACGTATTGGTCTTGGCTAAAATTTTCATTGATTTTTAAAACGTATTGAGGCACCATTAATGAGATTGTAGCCCATTTTCGGTCGCTCAGTAGCACTGAGATGAGAACTCAGAAAAAACCGTTCTTACGATATGCGTGCACGAAGCAGGAAACGGATTTTCGTGCAATTTTTCGAGTGGTAGATACAAAACCAAAACGATCCGTCAATTTGATTTGACCAATTATAACAGTCGTTCTCAAGCTGCATTCCGCAGAGCCTCAAGAATTTTTCCTCTGTACTTTAAAAAGTACCTGTACTGAGATGGAGGAGACATGAAACCAAGCAAGAATTACTCCGTCTGCAATTGAAAAAAAAACAAATACCGTGGATAAATTCAAAAATTTCTGAATGGAGAATTTAGAGGGATTAGAGAGGGACTCGGGAGGCTCAAGTGAAAAAAATGTATTTTAAACACGGCCAAGTTTCGAAAAGATTCATTGTAAAGGGTGCAGCAAGTCCAGCACCCAGAAAAAACTCTGACCTAGAAATTGTACAATACAATAACCTGGCTTCCTTTTAAAAACGTCATTTTATTTCACGCTGCAACCATACAAAAACCACATGAGAATTATACCGTATAAGAATTCGGAACCACTGGAAAAATCTCACCTGACAAAGATCCGACGAAACATCCGAGATTTTCCCTCGGTTCGACCGAGAACGACGGTCGTTTCTGGCCCGCAGTTTTGGGTCTCCACGAACTGAACATGTCCAGTGCACGCTCGTCTCCGTCCACAGCTGCTCTCGCAAGCCCACTGCAAAGTACAATAAAATCTGGTTATAACGAAGATGTTGGGACTATGGAAAAAAGGTTCGTTGCAATATTAAATTCGTTATAAACGATTTGAATAAAATTATTGCTTTTCGGCAGGTACCTGAAAACCCGTCTTCGTTGTAACCAATAATCCGTTATAAAGAGATTTAACTGTACTAGAACCGAGACTCACTCATTTTAAATTTTACAAACATAGATCACCATATTTACGCTAGTGTCGGCAGCTTTTTTTTCCTCAAAACGTACTCCAAAAAAAAAAAACTCACATGAGGCAAGCACTATAATATAATATTTGAGCATGGGCCACATTGAAATCTCGCCCATGCAACGTATATGCAAAATGATGCAATAAAATATGATAAAAAAACTTCTCTCACTGACTCGATTCCCGACCAAAAATATGTAACACAAATCATCACTCATGTGAGTTTTATATGATTGATTCATGAACATTCCTCCCATCCAGTATTCCCAGTCTTTTTCCCCGCATATCGTGATGAATATGCTGATTATTATAAAGTACAGTGAATATGAAGTATTCCCAGGTTTTTTTTCCCGTATAACTCCCGCATTTTACCATACTTTCTGAATTGTTCGAGGCTTGTGACAGTGTCATTTTTGATATGACTGAAATCGGAGTTGATCCCAAAATAACAAGGGACTGTTTCATCACTCACCTGATGTCCAAGCCACCGCCTGACGAGGGAACAGATCGGAAAACCACTTGACTCAAAGGATCTTTCAGTTCGTGATGGAAAACTGTGTGCATTGAACCGCGACCGTCTGACTTCCAACCAAGTAACGATCCAGACTACAGAAATAAACACATGATAATACATCATCTTACGAGGCAAAAAAAGAAAAAGAAAACGCCTGTGAAAATAAATTATATGCATATCGTAAAAAATTATCGAAAGAACTGAAGAACACAAAATATTAAAGCGAAATATGCAAAATAACCTGAACGTGAAAAATAGTAAAATTTTAAAATTAATTGCTACCACAGGCCTCTTTTCAAGTTTCATAACTGCAATTTAGATAATCAAAAAATGCTTCGATATTCAACGTCAAGCAACTACGTAATACGCAGTTTTCCTCCAGCAGCACAACCCGGAATTCGTAGAACATTCTCACATTTCACTTCCATTCCACAGAACATATTTTTCTCGTGAAATAAACTGAATTCATGATGCAGCAATAAAACATGGGCTCAAAATGATCCATTTTTATTATTCTCAACAACCAATAGGCTGAATAAAAGGCTTGACACATTTTTTCGCAATAAATGCGACGTCAGAATCACGAATATACGAGGGTTGTCCTATTTTGGGTTGACCTGGATTATTTCTGGAGTAAGACCACTGTGAAAAAAATGTATGATGTAGCGCATGCTATTGTAAGGTTAGGGGATTTTTAAAGATTTTTATTTAAAAATTTAGATTTACCGCATGATGATAATTGATAACTTTCCAGATATCGCCAGGGTTCTCCACCCATGTCATAAGGTGTTGAAAATTTTGCAGGCCAGGTCTGATGTAGCATGGGCTACATCGTACTGTAGATATATTTTTTTACAGTGGTACCTCCTCTTAAGAATAACCAAGGCCAACCTTCGTATTCTTCGACGAAACAATCAAAAAGCCAATAATTAGACGTCTGAACTCACTGTATCCGCAGAAATGAGTCGGCTTCCCATTGAACTCCATTCCAACAAGCAAACCGGAGACCGATGCAAGCTCCTAATTTCGACCACTTCCTTCTCCGCCACATTGAACAACGTGATTTCCCCGTTCTCCCAGCCAACGCAGCAAAATTTCCGCGAAGGATGCCACGCGAGGGTAGTCGGTTGCGCATTGTGCTGCGTAGGTAACTCCAACCCGGGCAATTTGTCACCCTGCAAAAAAATGAATGCATATAGAAATTTGCTGCATAAATATTTTGCCCAAAATGAGTCTACCTTTGCCTCTGGGATTTTTTTTTACAATGCTAATATCACTGTTGAATAATATTCAATGTTAATCTTCAAAAGGTTGAATGTATTGATGCATAGTAGTGAAGCGTTCTCAACACAGAATTATGGTGAATTATTATTGTAAATCACGATTGGGAATTTTGTGTTCAAGTCATTCTCCTTTATTCATCCTCGTTTGGGGTTTAATTCCGTTATGGGATCTTAGCACTTATTTCTTAAATGAAAGTTTGTTGAAAAACGCACTCCAGAATCTCATCTTTCGTTATTTAGAGAATAATGCCTAATTCTTCCTAAATTCTAAAATGGCATCACAAGCAATATTTCTAAAATTGCATTATTATAGACATTTTTGGATTTTTAAATACTGCATATATAATTTAATTACAGCATATGCTGTTAGAATCGATCTACAATACGAAGATTTTGCCCACAACGATTTTCTCTGTACCGTACTGTGCAACAATATTTTGCCCCATAGTGGTCTTTAGGTTCTCTACAGCGACATTCTCTCCTCAACGAAATTTTTTCTTGTTCCCTTGAATATTTTTGCAGAGAGAGTCCACCTATATGGTAAAATATAGTACAGTAATACACATGCATACAAAACTTGAAAAAATAACGTTTAATTACCTTCTAATGCCCTTCACTTCATGATTTTCATTATGATTTCCAGATGTCGTCTGAATATATTTTTCAACACTGAGTTAGATTTCAGTTGGTTAAAGTTATGTTGGGGATCAGCACTTCATTCTCGAACGAATGCTGAAGGTTTTAATTTTTTTAGTTATAATATTTTGGGTACCCTGAATATCTTGCAATAATGTTCAAGGTTTGATTCGGACATCCGCATTCCTTTTTGCGACGAATGCTGGAACTACTAATTTTTTACATCACTATAGAGACAATAAACAAAATTAATAAATATTCTCCCTCCGACACACAATGCCAAGAGCAATGATTGTGTTTGTCATTGCATTACTGAACACAGGCGTAGCCTGGCATTAGTCGCACACTTCATTGTCTTCATCAGTTACTGTCATCTTGGTAACCTTTATTCAATTTTTCGGATAAGTTCATTTATTTTGAGTCAGGCCGGCGATTCAGGCGACACCCGTCCGACAATAAAAAAAAATAAGGCTTGGCAATTAGACTTGAAATTCAGTACAGTAATTGGATGAAATGTCCTTTTAAAGACCGTAACTGACCTCATCGCCAAAAAATGTGACGATTCCGCCAGAATCTTCTCCATACGAGGCCACAGCAAGCAGAGGAAACTGCTTGTGCCAGTCCACCTCAACATGCACAACACCCTTCGCGACATTCACTCTAGTATCAAAGAATATAGCCATTGCTGCCTGCGCCCGGACGGGGCAGCAAAGCTTTCCTGAAAAAAAAAGGCAGAAAATTTAGTAATTCAAGCTCGAAAACGAAGTTGGGTGGACTACTACAGCACTGCATAGAAAATTATTTAATTACGGGAAAGTAATTATTGCCTGAAGCTTCCTCCGAGGATGGAAAGGCGATTAGACGTAATGAAATCTTACGGAAAAGTTGCTTCGAATTCATTGAAGAAATGCAGAACAAATTTCTCGGACAAAAATTTTAACTGTACCATCCTCACAGGAATATTCAGAGCACCGTTACTTTCCGTTCGTCTGAAAACTTCGAACGAAGGCTACAAAAATTCGAGGAATCGAGAATACTGCAAATCAATTAGGTTTCCTAATCGGACTTGGAAATAAAAAATCGCAGGTTCGTCTGCGGAGATTCGAATTCTAGAAAATTAAATTTTTAAGCGCTAATTCAATCAATTCAAAGATTGCGAGGGTTGTCCCACTTGGGCGTTACCCTGGTTATTTTTAAAGAAGGTATGAATGAAAAAAACTTGTGATATAGTCCATGATTTTGGGATTTTTTCAAAATTCAAAATTTAAATTTAATGCATGATTATAAATAATAACTGTCCAGTTACGGCACAGAGATCTGTATCAATTTCACAGGGTGCAAAACATTCGTCAGGCCAGCTGAAAATTGAAATTTATACATAGTTTAAATCCTTTTAACCATTATCTATAATGCAGAGAATGTGGGTAAAACAACTTTAAAAAATTTAGCTGTGCTGAAAACTTTTCACCACCTTCTGATATGGGTAGAAAACTCTGGTCTTAACTGAAAAAAGTGTCCCCTCTTCATAAGGCAGTATTTGAAAGTTTAAAAAATATCCAGGAAAAAATTACAGAATATTACAACATACCGGTCTATTTAAATTTTTTAGTCATAAACACTCCAGAAATAACCAAGGTGCACCCAAGTGGGACAACCCTCGGTTATTGCAGCAAAACCCATATATAGGTCTGATTTTTAAAGCGCAACTATTTGGAAATCCCGGATCTTTTTCAATCGTATCATTGTCTTCGACTCGAAAATTAAAAAAAAAAATTGAAGTACGACGACCGTCACATACAACGTATTCATAAGCTGTTTCTTCATCCAAAACGCAACACAACGATACCCGATAAAAAGGCCATTAAAAATACTCTTTACCAACTGTCGCGACGGATTAGTTTAACACGGCATTAGCTGCCCGAGAAGGCCACGCGATACCCGAAGAACATTTACAGAACAAACAAATGTCTTCTCCTTCTTTTGCAATATCACACATCCTCTTGATGCACTATTGAGCTTCAGAACGGCCGCAAAAAAAAAACGACATATTTTCAAATAGTGTGCTTCCAGTAAGTTCAGTTGCTATTTTCAATACATCGCAGTCTCCCAACGCCAGATCTCAAAAATAATTTCGCATCACCCTTCATTGTTCAAATTTCGGAAATGTTCGTCACTGCATCCAATATCGTTAATAAAATGGAGACTTCCTGTTTCATTGTTTCACCTCTGTTTGTGACACTGTATTGTATTTACGAACGTTGACATAAAAACGAACTCTGGAGTAAAAAAAAATTATAATCGACCGAATCCAACCTGATCTATCTTGCCTTATTTAATTTACCGGTAAATGAAGCAAAATTTCACGAAATGGCAGTGACACTTACATAAAAGGTTAAAACGAAGGACCCGAAACATACGGGTACTGAATTACACAAACGCAGAATTCCCCAGAGATCAGTAAAATTAAACAACAAACAGCAAGATTTCTTGTCTCAGCGTCTGATAAAAGTAAAACAACTTTACCCAAAAACGTCAACTTTTTTTTCAAAATTACATTTGATTTCATGTATCTTGCAAATGTAAACCTTCATCAGATGTGGGAGATCTTGCAGCTACTTCAAAATTTTGCAGTTGACATCTCGTTACATGTCTCAAGAGGTTTCTCAGGGACCTAAAAAGGAAACCCCATTGTTTAACCATTTTTTTAATGTATCAATAGGAGCATAAGGATTTTTTCTCGGAGAGAAACAACTTCTTCTCAAACATACACCGGTCGAGCAGTACTCTTTTCAGCACTTGAACACTCCACCTATTTGAACACAGTTAGGAATATGCACAAGGCAAACTATCCACAATATTGAGAATACACTTCATTCCGGGGTTAACTATAAAAAAGTACCGCACAGTTTGAGCGCGTCCCAAAACAGCGTTTCTCAAAACACTGCGCGCCAAACCATCATGCGCTAAAAAAAAAAAAACTGAAGCAAAATTCACAAAACGGAACTTTTGAAAGTCTGTTTATCGTAATGCTGTGAGTTTTCCTCGGGAATATAACCAGAATTATTAAAAATTTCGAGCCTTTTCAGGGTGAATAGTTTTTATACCTCTCTGGTCCAGTCCTGTACTACCTCCGTTTTCAAGGAGCAGTTTTTTTTTCTATACATGGGCTGTTTCAGAACGCGCCGTTCTAGGACGCGCTCTAACGTTCCGGCACCCTAAAAAAATTGCAATTAAAAAATGCTCCACATCCAGCGTTCTCGAGATGTCTACCCGTTTTAGAGAACTTTTCCTACTAGTCAACAATTGTCCCAGAAGCTCGCAATCTTTCTCCTCTAATTCCAATGTGGTCTTTCTCTGCTGAAACGAGCAGGTGAATTTCGAAGCACAGAACCGGGTATTTCATCAAGCTCATGGACCCGGACTCTGACGCAGCCAAACCGGTACGAAGCAAACGCGGGCAAACAGAACACACTCACAACGCTTCCTTTTGCAAAATGTTCATACAAACGACACTTACTTGTAACTTGAAAAATAAAATAAAATAGAAGTTACTTCTCGCGGGAGACGTGACGGTAAGGACGCAACGACAGCATCAGGTCGCCGGACATTTTTGACGACGATTCGAGATTAATCACCACATCATGTTTCGCACTTGATTGTTCTAAAAACGATGCAGAAAAACGCAAAAAAAAAAAAAACAGAGAGCATGGTTTCAACACACTCACTCACAAGAAACCATCGTGTCTTCCCATGCCACCTGTGTACTTCATGTCGAGGTGCAGCGACTCTTCTTCCATCCCATTGGGCCCACGGAACTTCCCCCGACGGACATCTTGCTGCCGAGAGTCTCTTCGACAACACAACCCAGTTAATCGATGATAAAACTGCGTCCACGACGACAGAGTCTTGGAGGACCACGTCCAGAACCCGGAAGTGATCCCCACGATCAGGGCCATGGGATACTTGAGCATGAAGACGGCAAAGTTGGCCTTTGGGTAGTCGCCGTCTTTGGGACACGGGATCGCGAATTCGCGGAGCTCGCAGATGTCCCGTTGCCAGGCCAACATCCACGACTCAAAGTTGGCCTGCTCGTACAGGAGGCAGCCGACGACGACCGAGGCAGGTACGACGAAAAGCATGGAGAACACGCCGATCCGCCACATGAGCTTCTCCAGTTTCTGCGTAGAGGCGCCGTCGCGCTTCATTATGGTGCGGATGCGGAACAGTGAGACGAGTCCCGCGATGAGAAATCCGGTGCCGATGAGCAGGTATGCGACGAGTGGCGCCACGACAAATCCTCGGAGGGCGGTCACGTTCCACAGCCCGACAAAACAGACGCCACTCAGCACATCACCTAATTTTTTAGAGAAAAACAGAAGAGAGAAACGTATTACAAGTATTCAGCTTTCGAAATTAACAGTATTAATTAATCGTTTCAGTGAAACTTTTCACTGAAATACCTTCATGTAACTAGCTTCAGGATTTTCGGCACTGTTACATAGCTTTTGCCTGTACCTCAGGAAGTTTTCTCAAGTCTAAGATGAATTAAAATAGGTGACAATATTTTCAGGTTAGCGCGGCAGACGACGTCCACATTCCTCGATTTTATTTCCCAGGTAATAAGTGTTTTAGAATTAGGTGAGTGGTTCAAGTTATACGAATACATAACAGAAAACTACATAGGAAGTTAATGCAGAAAATAAATGAAGATCGGCTTTAAAAAAGTCCTTTTTCACAAACGGGATTGGAAATTCAAGCACAATACTGAACAGTGAGGTATTGCTTATTTTTGCACTACTGCAAAATATTTACTGTACAGTCAATGAAAGTTATTCGGACCACATCTTGAATGAACCGTTTTGGTCCTTTTAACCAGCTGGTCCCATTACACAAATGTGCCTAATTTGCAATTCACAATTATTTGACACCACTATAACTTGAAACACTGGTCGTATGAAAATGTCACACCAATGCATTGTTATGCAACAATGGTGTTATGACAGTGTGACACAATTGTGACATGCAACAATGCTCAACAATGGAGTCAAACCATTGGGACATGCAACAATGGTACCACACCATCACGATTCGTGCAAAGGTGTTGTCATGGTGTGACACGATTTTTTTTTTTACTCTTGAAAATTTTCATGGACTGTGTGAACTTTCTTTGTTCCAATTAAGCAAAGTTTTGGTCAAAGTAAGTGACCAAGTTTTTCCTTATCTTGATGGATTTTTTCTGTGCTAGGCAGTTTGGTCCAAATAAGCAGCTGGTCCGATTAACTGGTGGTGCAATTCACTAGCTTCAACTGTACTCCATTTACTTGAGTACCGTATAACACACACGTCTTCTCAAGATTTTGCAGCGAAGTTTACAATAGTTTACAGATATCTGAAGAGGAATTATGAAACTCTTGCAATATTTTCCTTGAAAAATCCTGTTTTAAATTTTACGCCTCACTTCACATGCGAATGTATTAGTTACTTAATTTTCAAAATGCCCTATGAATAAAAAAAAAAAAAATGCAGCTCACCTTCCACTTTCGTCATCGCCAAAATAACTATCGTTTTCACGGACGGAATCGCCCAAGCGGCCAAATGAAAGTAGTGCGAATGCGACTCGATGGCTTCGTTTCCCCATTTCAGTCCCGCCGACAGGAACCACGTCAGTGCCAGGACGCACCACCAAACATACGACGCCATCGTGAAGAAGTACAGCAACATGAACAAAATGGTGCAAGACTCCTTCTTTGTCCCTTGCACGATCAACCTCGCCATGTCACCAGCAAGATCCTCTCTTCCTCGGGGAGGCGGGAACGGCTGATTACACGCCACTTCATCGCCAAAGGCGTATCCAAAGACGTAAGACAAAGCAACCATCAGGTAGCAAATGGACAGAAAAATTATCGGTCGTTCGGGGTACTTGAAACGCGACATTTCGATGAAAAAAGTGGCGACGGTGAATGAACACGAGATTAAGCAACACACGGACCACCCAAAGATCCAAAGGGCAGCGAAACGACGATGTTCTTTAGAGAAGAACATCCCGTCACACGGTGCTCCGCAACGTTTCTCCACGGCGTCGCCGACTTGCAGCGTGTACTCTCCATACTGTTCCGGCGTCTGGAACTGAACGGGACAAATGAAGCCAAGATTTCTCTCTGGAATCTCATTCACTCGCGGAAAGGCGTCTTCGTGAACAGGTCTTCGTTCCACGGGTCCATTGCCGTCGACTTCTTTGCCAAAACAGAGTTCCCCGAATGCGGGAAACCGCGAGCAGTCAAGGGTCTTGGGCCACTCGTACCCGAATCTTTCCAGGACTGACAAACACCCATCTCGCGCAGATTCACACAACGACCGACACGGTGGCAAGGGTTTCTCCAAAATGGTGCACACAGGTGCGTAGACAGAGCACAAAAACAGTCGCAGGTCTTCGCTGCATTTCACTTTGATCAGCGGCGAAAAGTTGAAGAGCTCCTCACCGGCGTCCTTTTGTTTTTGGTGATTGAGAATATTTGGCATCCGGGTCAGATTATAATGGAGGTCCATGCAGAGTTCGATGGAAATCGGTTCGCATTGATCTTCACCGGGTTCGCCATCCGGCGGGAAAGACCCTATGGAAAATACGCCGAGCACCAGAGAAAATAACGTCACTCCGAAAACAAATCGGTACATCACGACGGCTCTGGAAAGAAATTGATCATTAAGCGAATTGATCACAAGAAGAAAAAAAACTTTGAAAATGCAAGCTTGCAAAGAAACGATGACCACGCAAGGAACATCAAGAATTAATTCGCGTTAATCGCGATGCTGATGAGTCAAAGCGCATTGTAAAGACAGGGATATCCTGACCTGGCCATCGTTTTTCACCCTAACTGAAACGTCTCAATATACAACAAAAAAACAAATGATTTCATATCAATCAGAAGGCTTCTGAAAGTGTTCGGACTAGCGACTCAACGCAAACAGCTCGACTGACTCGCTGGAACACTGGAGACATATTCTCTTTCGAAGAAAAATGAAAGAAGCTGTCGGTGTCCGGTAAATCAAAGAAAATCGCGAACGAACGTATGCTTTTGAATCAAGACTGGGACATAAAAGTCGGGATCACTCAAAACAAACGATTTTTAAAATTCAACGGACACTGAACAAAAATGATCAAGCCTTGAAATCAAGCTAGCGGAACAACAAAAAAACCCGACGATCTTACATCAAATACTCATCATGATGATGGTAATCATTATCCACGAAAAAAAAGTAACGAACGAAAACGAAGAGAAAACAGTGTCACTTCGGGTTATTTAAAGGGGTCTGGAATCCCGATGGGGCGCCGGAGAAGCCAAGTCCAACCCCCCGATGAGTGTGGGTCGACATTCGGGCAACTTCATATTGCCTGTCAAGGCTCTGAAACAGTTTTTGTTGCTCCTCTTGAATATTTGTACCCGAACTTGGTTCGGCAGCCGAGGCATTCTTAATCCCCATCAGTTTACGAAATTTCTCCGTAGCTTTTCCGTCAGCGTCGAAATTTGTTGCCGCCCACAGAGATTCCTTGCTATTGTCTGCAGTCTCCGTTTTCTAGAAATACGAAGAATCGAAGGTAGTGTAATGAACATATTCCTTCAACAGAAAAACTAATGAAAGCGTGGGATTGTACCGAGTGGCCCAGAAAGTTTTAGATTGATTTACGAAGAAAAAAATTGCAACAACCACACACGTCAAAAACTCAAATCGACTTAAATCACGACAAAAATTTCGGTACTGTACATTGTTTATGAAGCATTTTGCTTCATTTTGTGTCCGCCATTTCATCAGTGCCACAGACATTTGGAAAAACCTTGTGACTCAAGGTTAGGCGAAAAATTCGCCTAAGCGACGACCAAGTTCAATTAAATTGTAATGTAGCGCGAAGAATTAATTCTTAAACATATTCAAAATTAAGGGTTGTGCATTTCGTGGATAATGAAATACAGTATGTTACTCAGAAAAGCGGAGTAAGCTCTTGAAGAAACGTTAACTTACAGATTTAAAATTTTTTCCCGTTAAATGGTACATATAGAGCTAATTTTTTTAAAATCATAAATTTTGATTAGTTTATCAATATTTTCAAAATTTTGGGTTATACAGTACTTTTTTAGATTTAATAAATGTAGGCGGAAGCCATAGAAGAGCCCTCTAATTTACACCGAACTGTACGTTACAGAGGTTGAAAAACGTTTCTGTATCACCCTGAAGCTGATCGGTCGATTTTTTTTTTCCTGAAACTTCAGATGTTGTCACTTCCTAACGCTAAAGCGTCTTCACGTTATTGAATGACAGCTTATGCCTTGTGGTGTTGTACTGCATATAAAACTGCTGGCTGAAAAAATTATCTACTTTAAGCTTTTTCAACTTCCAAGCGTTGTTTTTTTTCCGAAAATTGTTTGCTGTGAACATCGGCTGAGTATTGTGTGGTACAAAATGTACCAATCCAGTAATCTAGTTCGCCTATTCTTACATATCAAAAACCAACCGCTGTACCTTTCCTTTCCACAACATGGCACGTTTCTTTTGTTGTTCAGCCAGCTTGGCTGCTGCTGGCACTGAAAACGCGCCGACAGATGTTGCAGGTTGGGCTTGGGAAGCATTCTCTTGTAACTGCTGCCGAAGACGTGCAGCAGCAGCAAAGACTTGGGCTCCAATATCTTCAGACTGCTGGCCCAAACTCGTTGGGGTTACTAGCATCGGTGGCGGTATGGAGAAACTCATCAACGGAGTCACCGTTGGCTTCGGTGTTTCTTCATTATGACTTGGCGGCTTAGGAACCGCATCTTCTTTTTCCGGAGACTTGCTTCGACACTTTTCTTTTCCCCGACGCTTGTCCGGCGTTCGGGACCTCGACTTCGATCGGTGATGATGGCGTCTCCTACGACGAATAAGAAGGATCAGACCAACAATTTAGAACAAAATTGGAAGTACAGTTAAGTACTGTAATTAAACTCATCTAATCGTGATAAACCATCCCATCACACATGCCTCCTCCAACACGGATATTTCTTTCCTCACAAAAAACAATAACAAACTATGGCACTTACAGATGCTTTCTCATTGGAAGGGAAAAACGGGGAAGGGGTTTGAATATAGGGTGTTTCGAATATAGAACGTAAGTGCAGCTAAAATTACCCAGAAAAAACTCAATGAACAGAAGTGGTTTCGTGTGTGCTTCTATTGATGAAACAATTTTTGCTACCACCATTCCACTGCATACTGCGTCGTTCGGGTGGAGGCATCAGGACAAAAAGTTTCAAAACGACAAGAATTTAAAACCACAGGAAAAAAATGTATGAAGGTTACTTTCCGGAAGTATTCTTCTCTTTTGCAGCTTTCCATCCGATGGCTTTCTTTCTTCATTAGTTAATTACATACACTATTATTTGCTAACAAGCTTTTTAAAAATTTCAAGATTTCTCAACGTCAAGTGATTATTTTGACACAATTCAGAAAAATCCTGAAAATTGAGCTCACCTGTGCTCTTTGGACCGACTTCGAGATCTGGAACGACCACGATGATGCTTCCGATCTTTCCGCTTGAACCTTCCCGGTGATCTTGAACGGCTACGGCTTCTAGACCGCCGTTTACGGTCTCTTTCTCGCTCCAACGGATGATCTCTTCGTCGTCGCTCGTGCTTTTCCCTCGTTCCTTCCTAAATCCCAAAAACCCAAAAAAAATTTCGGGACCGTTCGATCGAAAAGAGGAGAAAGCGCGTTAACAACCATTTTCAGGCATACAGGAAGAAGCACGGTTGGGGATGGTAAAAACCACCAAGCAGGCTTCTAACGATCGTCAATGTTCTAAGACACGGAGATCGCGAGACCTGATCAGAGGAAACTCACCAGATCCGTCCTAGGCAAGCAGTTGTGACATGATGTACGGTGCAGTGAAAGATCTTTCGATAGCGTCGTGACGCCGGACCCAGTTTCTCAATCTCTCTCGCTTCCAGATCATATATTTTTTCGCACACAAGTGAGCAAATTGAGAGCGTGAGTACTTTCGTTTCGACTTGTTTTAAAATATCGTAGAGAACTCGCATCTTAGACGTGCAGTTCGCCCAGGGGACGAACTATGTTTAATATCAGAATCAACTACTAATATTGCGAGACAACCACGGAAAGCAACGAATTCGGATCAAAATGGTTTAACTCACCCTTCTTGGACGATGTTTTGAACGCCTATCTTCAGAGACAGTTTTCTCATGGTCTGAATCAGATGCGGAACGCGACATTTCTGGCAGAGGGACACGTACGACAAATATAAAATTCGCTGCGAAATTTGATTACAAAATGAATTAACTCCAGTCAATACTCAAGCGCTCGAGAACGGTTCGGCACAGAGAAATTTCAAGCCATCTTTCGGGAAACACGCTCCACGCGGCTCGAAGCACGAAAACGAACTCCTCGACATTCGTCGCATTAATAACCAAAACACAAACAACGTTCGATTTCAGTGCAGCGTGTAATCCTATAGCTTATACTGTACTGCACTGGAATGTGTCCAATGGATAACTTACGAAGAGGGAACAGATGCGCAGTACACCACTATACACATTCACGAATGCCATGCGCTCGGACAAGGTCTCTTTCAATGCATTTTCAATCGCTTTATACAGTACCAGGTCAAGGGGGGCAGTACAGCACAGTATTGTTTAGTACAGTACAGTATTGTAAAAAAATTCCAGGTCCCATGCATGCAAAAGGCTTCCTTGTATTGTAGAGAGATTTTACTGCATTTATTTGAATTGCTCAGGTTAACTCACCAAAAATGTGCTCCATACAGTTCAGTACAACAATATTTTCTGGTCCACTCAAGTTTGTTGTGGACAGGGTCCACCTTCATTCCTTGCATTTAGATATACCGTAATTTAATTCCACACTAAAAAAGGTAAATAGCACAGAATCATTATCTATATGTACACCTCATTTACAAAATAATCTGATGATATATTCCTTTGATTACTGTGCCATGTTTTCGCATTTGTGAATGACATTATCCTGATAACACATGCTTGAAGATAATATGCAGCAGAATGCAAATTGCCCCTAACACAAGCAGGCTTAAAGTACTATATACAATTGAACCTGGATAACTGCATGGAACCTGCAAACCTCACTAAGTCAAATACCTCCTAAGTTAAAATTTTTTCAGGTCCTGTCCAAATCCCCTTACAATTGATGCATTAGAAACTTCCCTAAGTCTAAGGCTTTTCCCTTCAAATCTGGATTAGTCAAATTTTCTGTGGCCTGTTGGCTTTTACTTTCTTGACAGAATAAGAAAGAAATGAAAACAAACGTATTTGTTTTAAAATGCGGTGTGAGACATTGACACTACTGTATGAATGGAGAAAGAACCCTATACAGTATATGGAACCAAAAATTGTTATAATGCACAGATGACGTTGTTGCAGACAAACCTGTTTTACAGCATAAGGTCCACCAATATGAATACTGAATATAAAAATGGAATGCTGAAGAAAGACAAGTTCCAGGTTTATAAAATGATTTTCAAGATTAATTTAACACTGTATAATTAAACAGCTCACAGCATCTTCTCAAAAGATCCCTTTAGAGAGTTTATGCCATATTGCTTTGATTTTGCATTGGAAGAAATAAGGTTATCTCATTATTTTCTAATGCAAATGAGACCCTTCTCTTCAAATAATGATAGATCATTAGTGCAGTATTCTGAAAAGCTGTGTTTCATGTACATCTGGTGTTCCTACAGTTAGAACTAATTGAAGTGAAAACATGTATTCAAGGCAATCTTGATATTTTCGGTTTAATTGAGATTTTGTCAAGATCAGAAAGAAATAATTCCAATTTCACTAAAAACATTGGTTCATGAAGATTCAAATTTTACATAAATGATCAGTTACATGAGGCATTAGCGCAGTCACCAAAGCATTGATGAAGGAACCATATTACACTGGGAGTGTCACAGATACCTTCACTGCCATATTAATCAGTTTCTTTCAATGAAAAATACTCATGGAACAAAATTCTTTTCAAGAATTGAAATTTTTAGAACTTCCCAAATGGCAAATGACGTCTGTTCCTATGCTGAATAGGTAGTGAAGATATGCAAATTTTTCATCATCTTGAACATATCTGTTTATCGCAAGACCGGTTCTCCAACTGAAGGACAAACTGCATCACAAGTTGTGCATTTCTGCTTTTCTTCTATATCTGCACGATTCAAGACCCATACCCCACAAGCGCCCAGCAAAACCGGTACACTTCTGAAAACAACATCAACGCTCCCAGACATGTTCCACACCATTCCAAGGACCACGCATTCTTCCGGAAGCTTGGCGGTCAAAGCATCACGAACCCAACTGTTTCTTTTCGCCGAACATTTCGACGGCTCCGCGCACACCTTTGCTCTTTGTCTGTCTCTCAAATCGAGACAGGAAGATAGTGAGAAACCAAATAATTGAGAGAACAACAAATAACCCGCAATTTCAGCATCCATCATTCAGTCGCCGCAGCTGAAAGAAAGAACAAACCACGCACAGAAATGACGAGACATTTTTCAATCGTCCAACCACGCGGCAAAAAAAAATAAGACAAACAAACGTTGAATGAATGGACTACAGTACTGTACTTGAAGAATAAATGAATGCGTATTCTGCTCCGCAGCACAACTCGACTGGAAAAAAAAGATTGTCCATTTCTCTTCGCACATCGAAGACTAAACCTGAGCTCATCTTAGCATCAAACATCATCTTTGTGAGCAATCACGAACACAGATAAATAAATAAAAAATAACATATTCGCGGCGGCGGCAAGTGAAGAGCACGTGGATACGCAATGAGGAGTTAGGTACTCGCATCACAGTACTTGCAGCGTTCTCTCTTTTCAGTCGGCCTTGTTCGTTTCGCGATCTTCGGACCACAGGCGCGGGTCCCGCCGCTGGTGTTGATGGTGTCGTGAATGATGAGCTTGATGATCTCTCGACGGGAACACAGAAGGCTGTTGATGGTGATGCCGGGGATAGCGCTGTTGTTGTTGCTGCTGATGGGCTGGGAACGCGGCAGCAGGGTTGGCAGACGTTGATGACGCACTCGCTGCATTCGCAGACGGATAGTAAGAGCCGTGTGAGGATGATGGGTACCAGGTTCCACTCTGTTTGCCCATCCAATTATAGTATTGGTAGTCTTCTCTGTCTCGTCTGTGCGCGAACCTGGGAGAAGAAGCACAAGTGCTATCACTCCGCACGACCATGTTTAAAAAAAATGAAAAAGGAACAGTTCTTGTTTTAATTTGTCAGACTCTATAATGACAGTCCCCCCTTCTGGAATGTCACGACAGGTGTAACCAGAATTATTAACGTTGCCCTTCTAAACTAATTTCAACAAATTGACTTCAAAAGAAAAACCAATCCCCGGGGGACGTCTTCAAGAGGAAAAATAAAATGCTTTTCTGCCGTCTCAAGACCATGTAAATCAGAACGATGGCTGGGTGTTCTTGGCGAAGATAACGAAAATATAGTTCGTTTCCCTCATGTAGATGTTGCCAGACCACAACTATTCCGTACTCACATTAGCAGGAAGGGCGCCTCGAACAAAATCGAAGCGAACAACTGAACCCTTACCAAACATGGCTGAAATTGAATATACCCCATGAAATGCATTAGAAGAAGGCGCTACATGGAATTCACCGTATTTACTTGAGTACCATGCATCCCTAAGTAAGACATACACTGTGATTTTTCTGTTGCAAATTCTCATAAAATTATATCCCAAGTACGACGCGCACACCATTTTCAATGACTATAAAACCACAATATTACACAGATAAGAACACCCAAATTTTAATTTATACATAAATTGAACCAGGATTCAACTAATTTTCGATTGTTTCCATTAAAATAAACTTGTCCAAATGAAATCGGATCCAACATTTTCCATTTCAGATCAAGTATAATGCACACTTAGTCTCCCATAAAGTTTTGAAAAATTATACCTGCCTATGACGCACACATTTGAAAAAAGGTGCAAGTGGTACATGAGTAAATATGGCATCAATTTCTTGTAAACGAAAACAGGTGTGTTTTATTTTTCCTGTGTGAAATTTTTTCAAGGAATGATGAAAAAAGTACACTGGAATGAATCAAATCCATGATTCAGAGCACCAATGTACAGTATTCACCAACCTGGGATTTTCACCAGCCCGATAGCCTCTCCAGTCGGGTCCACCACCAGCATGATGACCTCGTTCTCCCGATCCAAGCAACAACGACTGTTCGTCCTCGTCTCGCATCTCTCCTTCCTCCAGGTCCGCCTCGTCGTCCTTGTGCTGGGGCAAAATGACGCGATCGACTTCCGGCGGAGAAGCGGATCGACGGCGCTCCTTGGCATGTCGGAACCCGGTTCCTGAAGCGGGTCCGTCCTCGTCTCTTCTCCTGCTTTCCAACGTCTTAAAATTTCATTTCTTAAAATAGATCATTCGGGTTCACGAACCTCTTGTTCCATTTATCAGCATGTTGGACGGTCTTCGTAGAGGTGGCCGCGGTAGGAAACGGCTTAGTTGGCTTCGAATCATCCTCCGCCTTTCGCTTATGCGGCTCAGCGCCACCGGTTCCAGCAGTGGCGACATCTACCCTCGCAGGCGTCTTCGTCGAAGTTGCAGGCTTTTCCGACTGCACCGAAATAAAATGAATTTAAAAAGACGTGTAGAAACGAAGTGAAATTGAATTTAAAAACGCGTTGAAACGAAGTAAAATGGGATTGTAAGCCATGTTGCTTATGAGTAAAATAGTCAGAAGACGTGAACTCAGCTTTCTACCTTTCCTTCAATTGATAGATACGAAAAATTTCATTGATGACACCGTACGATTGAAGCTCAAAGCTTGTTGATCTCAAAAGTGCCAATTTCTGTAAAACCTAATGCCAAGCAAACTTTGGTTTTTCATTTCACCAGGTTTGTCCGATTTAGTCACAGCTCACCATCAGCAAGTTAAATTTGCCAATAATTTCGGACAACCTGATCTGTTCAAGATTCAATGTATTAACATATGAAGCACAATTCTCGAAACTAAACTGAACAACCTCAGGCCTGTGAGGCATACATCTAAGGACAACATCTACCGGCACGAGAACCATTCTTTTGGCATTACCAGGCTAAATTAGTAAAATTCACGCAAAAAATAAAATAAAAAGAATCATGTTGAGCACCTTTTTCGGCGTCTCTTTGTCGTCCTTCAACTTGGCCTTTTTGTACAGCTTATAGAGCTTTTGAGCATCGTGCTCCGTAAACTTCGAAACGAAGAACCACAAGTTGTTGCGCCACTCGCGAATCTTCTCCGGATCGTGATACGCCAAGAGACATGAGTTGATGTGATCGCCAATCAAACGAAGGCAGCGGCGCTTGTGACTCTGGCGTTCCTTGGCGCCGCCAGCCACAGGACCATCCAGCTGCTTGAGACTCTTCTTCACGGGTCGCATTTTCTCCTTGCATTCAGCAAAAGCGTCAGCCGAAAGCTCACTTCCCGCAGTCAGTTTCATGGCGGCCACCGTCTCATGCGTCGTGAAATGCAACGGGGCGGACATGGAGTTGGACGACGACTGCAGCGGCCGCTTATTCGTATTACCACCTCCGTCTTTCCCGTCACCATGCTGATGATGGTGGTGGTGGTGATGATGATGATGATGCTTCTTTCCAATGTGATGGTTGGATTTCTTGTCGTGATGATCGGATGACAAAGGCGTCGCCGACAACGTCGGCTTTGGTTTGCTATTACTATTATTGTTATTGCTACTATTGTGCTGTTGCTGCTTGTCAGTCAGTGAGAGTGGCCAGGATCCCTTTCCTTCCGCTCCCGCATCGTCGTCGTCCGAGCTCAAGTCCGCGTCAACAAATGCTTTGGTTTTGGGCTTCCGACCGCCCTTGCGAGGCGACGCCACGGTCTTGCTGGGTTTCTTGCCACGCGGCGCGTTGGACATGGCCCGCATGAGGTAGTCCGCACGGGTCTGAAGGTGCTTCTCCGACGGCTTTCCTCCGTTACCCGGCAGCAACTTCTTTTCCAACTTAAGGCTCGGATCCGTTTTGATTGACTCCCACGACCCCATGCCGTATTCATAGATGCCCTGTAGGAGTCTCGCGTCATCCTCCTTGGTCCAGTCACAGTCCCAATGGACTGCTTTCACCCTGAGAAGTGAACAAATAATCAGTGTCATGAACACAGGAATAACAGAGAATAACGGAGATTCTCGACCTTCTTGACTAAAACAGTAGTTTTTAAATCAATTTAAAGGAGAACTCTCCAAAAAAATTCGCTGTAGAGAAACCCTAGATACTTGGAATATGGTGAAAGATCTCTATGAAATAGATAAAAAATTGTACACAAAGAAAATAGCTGTAGAATAAATCATAAAATCGTTGTAGAGTTCATCCATATACTGCGGAGATCTTAGAAGAATTATTTCAACACTTTTTAACTTGAGCAACACATTAGAAAATTCTAGCCTATTCTTGTACGTCCCACTTCTCGAACCTATTGAATACTGGTACTCTCTCTACAACGAAATTCAAAGGTACTAAAAAAAATCGTTTTAGAGAGAATTTTGTAACACAGTAGAAAACCCCTAAAACATGGGTAAACAATCCTACTATTGTATCAGGTATACTAAGAAAATCTTCGTGGGGAGAGTCGACCTGCACTGTATTACGTCATGCGCAAAAATCGATACGCTTACAACGAAGTGCTTCTATTTTTCATTCCCCGAAAATATAAAAAATGTGCACAATATTCGCAAAAAAAATTTCAATTTTTAAAATACGCCCGAAAATTCTGAGGATCCAATTCGACTTACTTGACATCGAGCTGCCACTTGCCGCGTTCTTTCTTGTCGGCTGGCAGCGATTCGAGGGGCTTGAGATCTTCCATCTGTGACAGCAAAGACTTGGCATTAAGGATCACTCCACCGATTTTAACCTTGGGTCCACGGGTTCGCTTCGCATCCTTGGTAGCTTCGTCTTTCTGCTGCTCATGCGAAGAAAACGCCTCCTTGCACTTGGACAGAACAGTTTCCCCGAGCCGCTTTAGGTCACCAGCGGACTTCTCCTGAAGCTCTGCGTCTTCCGCGATAGAATCCAGTCGGCTCATAGGGTTCGGGAATTTTCGCCAGCTCTTGAGAAAACGCCGAACCTGAAGAAAATGAAAAACCAAATTAATGCACATAAATAAGTTTTACCACAGGTGGACTCGAAATACAAGAGATAAAAAAAAATACGTCGTAGAGAACCCCTTTACCACGAGTATAGAGCCCCATGGACAAAGCTTGTAATTTATGCAGAGAAAATCGTTGTAGAGAGAAATTATCTGCATTGTACATTTATAGAAAGCGTTTCCTTATTTCTGTAGATAGTACAAATTATTTTCAAGATTTTGCGCTAAAATATCAGGCTTCCCCGGTGTTCATTGCTTCAACTGTGTCGACAACTTTCTCTTCGACTTTTGTTGAAGTTGAAGACTCTTTTTCCATTAAACAAAATCAAAGACTCTTTCCATTTGTTTTGCAATGCATCAATAACACAGTAATTTCTTTTGCAGCTTTTTGCATAATAATGAAAAGAGGGGTCAAAATCGTCCACTTGACCTCTCGCGTCAAGATTTTCTCATAGACAATACCATGCAAAATCAAGAATGTTCCCCATTTACAGTATCAGCTGCACATGTAGAGTTTGCGTCCCACAAATGATAAAAGGGACAAATGGTTGAAAAGTGCTCGTAATCCTCACCTCAGGGGTAGTAAATCCTTTAACAGACTCTTTCGCCTTCGGCCCTCGGCGTTTTCGCCCACGCTCATCACTGTCATCGTCGTACTCGTCATCGTCCTCGTCGTCGTCTTCATCCTCATCCTCTTCTTCTTCCTCCTCCTCTTCCTCTTCTTCCCCGTCCGATCCGTGACGGGAAGTCTTCACCTTTTTCTTCTTCGCCAACTTTGATTTCCGGGTTCTCGTCGTCGGTACGTACAGATCCGCCATTTCATTCTCTCGCTCCTGCTCAAGCACCTTCCTCTTGTAGTTGTCGGGTATGATGTCCGCCTATTGAACACGTTGAAGAGCGATGACAAGAAAAACGCAACGATGAGGATTGGATCACACTCGGAAAAATGCATCGGGTGTCCAAAGAGTTTATTTTTCGGTAGGACATTCCGCAGTTTCGGGGAGTTTTACATCTCGGGATCAAACAAAATGCAGATATTGTCGGATTCATTCAGAAAATTTCATTTGAATAGCTCGATAGAATATAAATAATTATTCTACTGTAAAAGAAATTGCCCTCCAAACTTCATGAAACCTTCTACTCAATAATGAAGTTTCAATTTTCATAAGCACACAAAAGGGACCCAGAAACAGGGGGACTTAAATCACCATGAAATATCGTGACTACCGGTGAGATCTACCCGCACAACCTCAATACGTTTCTAGGAAAAAATCATACAGTAATTTGAACGGTAACGTAAAATATGCCTCTTCTGCAAAAATTTTTGGACGCCCTGAACAAGAAAGTTCTCAATAGGTACCCAGTCTTTGGTTTCTTCCGCATCCGTCATCGTCTTTTTTGGCAGCTTCTCTTTCTTTCCTTCATCCTCTTTATCGTCCTCCATTTCATCATCCTTTCCATCCTCGTCTTTTCCAAACACAAAAGAAGTAATCTTGAACTGTGAAAGCAACTCATCACCAGCCATTCGCGGTTCTTCGTCTCTGGTTTCAGCACGGCGAAGTATATCATCGATATCACACTGAAAAAAAAGAAACAGTTGAGGTATGTGTGCGGTAAAGAAACGACAGACAATCAAACGGTGGCTCACGGCAGGTTCCTCTTCAGTTTCATCATCGCCTTTGAAAAGTTCCTGCGCTCCAAACTTGAGGATAGCAGCCAGCTCTTCCTTGTCGAAAGGAACGGAAGAATTCGCCGACGCTTTGCAATCCAACACGGATCGCCCAGTAGTATCCATGTTCTGTATCACAAGGTGGTCCAGGATCATCTTCTTCTTGGCCCGTTCTACTATGGTCTCCTCAACGGACCCACGCGTAACGAGACGGTAAATGTTGACCTGTACATTCATCAGCAAATTAAATAAGTTTCAAAGGAACGAAAGTACGCATTTACGCAATCCATTTTAAATCCTAATTTCAGCCCCTGGAATTAAAAAAAAAAGTCAAGGAATGAGTTCTCGGGAGAAATAATCGTTGACTTCATGAAAAACCAACAAAACAGAATTCTATATTTGAATGAAAGACTTGATCATTTCCAAAACTCAAGCCAAATTTCGGGGATAAAATATGATTTTCGTATTCGAGTAAATACCTCACTGATCACACATGAAACACACCTGATTTTTCTGGCCAATGCGGTGGGCCCGTGATTGGGCCTGCAGGTCATTTTGAGGATTCCAGTCCGAGTCAAAGATAATCACGGTGTCGGCTGTCGCCAGATTAATTCCTAGGCCACCGGCTCTCGTCGACAGCAAGAAGCAGAAGTCCGGAGACCCGACGGCGTTGAATCTGTCCATTGCCTGCCGTCGTAGCTCCCCCTTGATGCTGCCGTCGAGCCGTTGGTACGGAAAATGACGCAGTAACAAATACTCGCTCAGAATGTCCAACATGCGCACCATCTGCGAAAATATGAGCACGCGATGGCCGGTCTCGCGTAGCCGAACGAGCAACTTGTCCAGCAGCAAGAGTTTCCCAGAGCCTTGCACCAGGCGTTGGATACGTTGCTCTGCTGCCGAATCATCACAACCACCCCCCGATGCGGAGGAAAGAGAAGCTGCAGCAGCAGCGTTGCCAACAGGGAACAGCGGCGGCGGGGCTTGAATCAAGTGACTATGGTTACAGCACTTTTTCAGTTCCACTACAATGTTGGTAAACGTGGTCATGGATCCGCCGGAACCTTTACGTAGCTGATCGAAATTCCGCGCCAGGATCCATTTGTAAATCTGCTTCTGTGCCTTGGTCATGTCCACTCGCAGAATCTGTTCCACCTTGGCAGGCAGCAACCGCTCCACATCCTTCTTCACACGTCGCAAAATATAAGGCTGCAGTTGCTTGTGAAGTTTCTTATACCCGGCGGTCTTGTTCGCAGCCGCCGTAGCGCCGTGCTCTTCGTCAAAAGATTCCCAGTCGGGAAAGGTGTCCGGCATGATGAAATGAAGCAGAGCCCAGAGCTCTTTGAGAGAGTTCTGGAGCGGAGTGCCAGTGACGAGCACGCGCAAGTGCGTGCGGAAAACGTGCAGCGAGCGATAAAGCAGCGAGTCATCATTCTTGAGTCGATGTGCTTCGTCTACAACCAGCACAGCCCAGTCCATGGCTTCCAAGAACGCTCGGTCCTTCAACAGGATCTCGTAGGTCGTGAGAACTGCATTCGGTTTCAATCGTCCCCCATCCGCGATCCATTCCACTGCGCGAATCGTGTTCCGCGAATGCGTGTCACCAATATACGCGACGACATTCAGGTCCGGGAACCACGTGAGGAATTCACGCTGCCACGCAGTCAACGTCGACAACGGCACGACCACCAAGAACGGTCCGTAGACTTCGTAATGCCGGAAAAGATAGGCCAGGAAACAGATCACTTGAACAGTCTTCCCGAGGCCCATCTCATCGGCAAGAATCACGCTCCGGTCGTGACACCAGGAACTCACGAGCCAGTTGAGACCCGCCAATTGGTAGTCACGCAGGCGGAGACTAGGCACGGAACCCAGGAATGTCGGTTGTTCTTTGACGGGTACGAACTTGGGACGGTTTCGCAGGAGGCGGACGAGGGCATTCGGCGGCTGTGGCAAGCATTTCGACTGCTCTCTCCGTCGAAACTCTTCAATCCGATCTTTCCAACGTTCTTCAATCAACGCTCCGTCTTCCCAAGTGCATTCAGAGTACGACAGGTTTTCCCACTTGATCAGGTAGTCGGCATGCGTCCCCAGCGGCTTGTCGTACGACGCAATCACGCGTTCCACGTTTATATGGCTTTCCGCCAACTCCTGCATCATGTCTCGCTGGCATTCTACGTATTCTATATCTTCGGGGTTGGCCACAGTCTTCCACGCACGAAGTTCCTTGTCTTTCTTGATGTAGTTCTCGACCCGCTTGATGCCACGAACCTTGAACAAAAAAATAAGGGATATTATTAGTGGTTCGTTGGTCTTTGCGCGAAATAAATGGCAACTAACTCCCATCTCACGTAAGCTACGCAGACTCTCCCACGTGTTGTGTAAGTGAGACCAGCCCATCCACTTGATAAGGAATTGTTCTTCGGCGAGTTCGGACGTGACTTCCGCTTCGAAACTCGCGTTCGGATCCCCATTCTTCGTTATGGCATACACAGTCGTGCAAGCACCCACAGCTGCAGGACAACAAAGATACAAACACTGTATTATTTGTACTCTCATCTCGGCCCTTAATTGTAGTTAAAGCTGACACTACTCTTTTTCGTCTTTTCAAAGAGCTGTCGTAGAAATGCTAACCTCTTCTAACGCCTCACGAACCTACCAACAAGTACCGAATAGCACCTGAAGAATTGATTCGAATTGCTGATAAAACCCTTAACCAGTTCAGTCTAACCTACTGTACAGACAAAGAATCAATTAACCAAGCCTAAAAAGATATTTACGTCAAAAGTAAATGAAATTAAATTGGAAACTAAGTATGCATAACAAAACTTGAGCTGGTAAGTGGATGTGTTCAACTTAATATTTTGGCATATATAACTGGACCTAACCAGATACAGTACTATGAACTAATAAATACGCAGGAAAAACATAACCTACTCCCAGGCCCAAATATAAGAATTTCATTCAACATTCAACCATCCTAATCCAAGAATAATCTCATAAAATGCTTATACCGTACAATTAACATGGAGTGGAATCTCATATACTGGAGCAGCTTCAACAATACAAATCCCCTGATACAATTCGAACTCTAGATAAATGGAAAAAATGAAAATAATTACCATCCACATGTCCGACTCGTTGATCCATCACCTTCTCCACGCATTCACCCTCCTCTGGATCGGGTGGCCGGAGTCCAGGCTGGTAGTCTTCAAACTCTTCCCCATTTTTCCGGGCATTGCTCGTTTTCACGACTTCCTCTTCTTCATCGTCGCTGACTTCACGATAGTTCACCTTGGCTGCAGCCCGTCTGGACGTGTTGCGAACCTTCACCGAGCCAGCAACAGAGGAACTCGAATCATCTGACGACTCGGACAACTGCACACGCCGACCCCCACCCTTGGAAGTAACCGCAGAACTACTTTTCTTGGTGTTGGGTTTCGCACGTGGGCGTGACACGTCAGACCCCGAGTCGGAGTCCATCCTGTCGGACGATCTAGACTTCGAACTCGTTCCACTCCTGCAAACGAAAATAACGATTGTACAGCGGTGTACCTCGGATAAAGGATTTTTTTTGCACGACGGACTTCTAACTTTCTTCCAAGTTGCCAAGAATGTTTCCAGTGAGAAGTGAACCCTATTGCTGCACAACTGATTGTACTAAAAAAAAAATTAAAGCGGCTGTGGGAAATGTGCTAAACAGTACAGTACTCAATTTTTCAACCGATATAAACGTTTCATACTCATGATTATGTTAAGCACAGTTTTCCTGGGGCTGAGTGCTTTCGCTGATATTTTGATACTGTAAATCATATTGAAAATACAGTACTGTATATTCATTTCGCGATTTATTGAAGGATTTATGAAATTTTCCGAAGGATCTGAAATGGATACAGAATTGCACGTAACCAGAAACTACTCAGTTCAAGTATTTTTGAGAATCTGAACCCATTGACTCCATTCTACGAAGTTTTGAATTACCCAGTTTATAGACTCGAAAGATCATGATATTAAAAGTACAACTGAAAAAAATACTTCAAATCTAACAACCGAGATACAGTACTACTTTATCATTTATAAGGCTTTTACAGTATAATGCTCGAGTTTGATGACGCATAAGAAAATTGAATGCGACCCAAACATAAAAATTGTAATACAGTAATGAACTTCGCGTCGAAGTCCGACGGTGTGAAAAAAAAGGAGCCCTGTACTATTTTTGTCGTTCAATCATCTGAATTCTCCTTGAGCGTTTTCGTAAAATCAAGAGAGAGAGAGAAATCGAACACATCTGAAGTTAGAAAAACAACGTCGTTACATCATAAACTTCTGTATTCAACTGAATCTGACTTCGATATCGAACTAAATTTATTTTCAAATTAAATATAATTATATACGAAATACAAGATTAAAATTCAACTAAAAGCAACTTTCCCTTCAGTAGAACTCAGATCTAATTTAAATAGACCCTCCAATTAAAATATCTGCCTCGTTACCAAAATGAATCTCAATATCCGCTTGAATTTTGCCGAAAATTTTTTTAAAAATTGCGACAAGAATTATTCGACTGCTCCGAGAATCTATTGAACGACATCAGGAAATTGGGCCTCCTCAAAGGCAAAAAACGTTATGCATGATGTAAAAATCCGCATAGAAGGATGATTAAAGCAGGTTTTGCAGTAGTTGACACTTATGACACAATTGAAAGCATTTCCCAAACAAACAAAAAATCTTTGCGAACCTGTTTCGAGAGCGACGACGACTTCCCGCGTGCTTCTCATTTTTGCCAGAGTCAGCGTCGGACTCATCATTAGTTGTAGATTGCCTACTGGGTTCCTGGCGGCTTCTTCCCGATCGACGAATCCCATACAGGTTTGGGTCTTTGCCCCAACACTGCTTCAGGTCATCCGTTTTCTTCTTCTCGACAGTGCCCTTCCGTTCACGCATGGTACGCTTGCTCTTCTTCGTCCATGACTCGTTGGAGGTACCATCCTGCTCCTTGTTGGCCGATTCACTGGAAGAGTGTTCGGCCGAATCCGACCCCGAATTCAACGAATCATCGTCTGATGCCGAACTTTCTTCGGACCTCGAAGCCTGAAAGACATCACTCTCACTCAGAACGACATTTACGAAGGAAACTTCAGACCTCAATAGTTTAATTTTATTCCAATTTCAGCAACATATCACATCACCCATTTAGAGTACGTACGGATCTTTTTGCGTAAAAGCGCCTTTTTGAAAAACTTTCGCTTTCCACCAAATTGTGTTTTACCATGACTGTTCCAAAAAAGTATCTACAGTGACAGACCACCTTATTCAAGGAGCTCGAATTGATTTTCATATATCAACTCTTTCACAATAAAGTATGAGAATTGATATCGATTTATTCACTTCGCTAACAGAATAAATAAATTAATATGGTCGCATAAATAGCTTTGAAACGTAAATTTTTAAATACACAATAAAAAAATAACCAGGGCACTTCGATGATAATACTGTACTGATGAATCATCTCTCCTTTTCGAAAATGTATATCAGCTACTATGACGTTAACTCCATAAATATCCGATACTGCGCCAAAATATATCAGCACATGAATATACGGCAGTGACACAGAACTAGCCCATACTGTATAACCTTAAAAATTCACATAAATCTAACATGGATGATCTAAGCACTTGACCAAGTGACAAACCTAAACCAATTCAATACCAGGGTCAAATATAAACTGTCTCACGTCATCTTTCAGAAAAAACTCGCAAAATCCAACCAAACCTAATACTGTACCCGATTAATATCCAACAACATTTCTTCACTTAACCAGAAAGTGTACCTCGATACTTTATGGTTAAATTACAAATGAGTTAGGTTGGTGACTATCAGTAAGAATTAAGAATCTCGAGTTTCTGAGAATATTATCCTTCGGTCCGGCAGCCAGCGCAGCTTCAGAAGGTACAAAGAAAAACAACTCGTTCATCGTAATACACTACTGCACAGCATCTCAAGTCTACGTCCTGAAATGGACAAAAGCACGAAGAACAAACCTTGCCCATGTCCTACACAACCTGGGATGGATTAATGCTAACCCCAGGATTCACAACACGCTCCAAAAACCGGAACAAAACATCCGCAGTACTTGTATCCCTTGCTCCGCCAGAATAAGGCACATCTGCAGATTCGCGGGAAAAACAATAATAGTCACAAAAAATGTATGGCAAATAAATGGGTTCATCCCGATTTCTCACACAGATACGCAGGAACAGGAGAAAAGGATTCATTAATATAAAAAAAAACGAAATTATTGCATTGCATAATGGCGGTGACATACGCTTAAAGAATAGACATCAGGAACGGCATAATTTTCCCCACAAAAAATCGAGAAAAATTTCATAATATTTTTCGATAAAATTGACCAGAACTGTAGATCAAAAATTATAAATAGCTGTAAAAATTCGACTCGAATAAATACAACTCGTATCATTACCGATTGTGCAAACGTATAACTGCCAACTAGACTGCATAACTGTTCACATTTAAGATTCGAATACTGTACCTTATCATTTTTCAAGCAATGAAGAATCCGTTTGAAATACTGAGAAGCAAATGTTTCTAGAGGCACTATTTTATTTATGCGCCATTTAAGACGAATAACGATTGCTGGTGCTCCGTTGCGCGCAGGAGCACTTTCAAAATTGTAAGGCTTCAATCAGATCATTTTAAAATATTAAAAATCATCGATGCAGTTCTCCACAATCCCTCCAGCAACTTATCCATAGAGTGAATTATGAAGAAATAATAGCTTATAACTACTGAATTTGTAAATAAAAGTCAGGCTTCCACACGAGACAAGGGTTCAGCATATTCTTTTCTTTTCTAGAAGAAGCGTCAGCATAGAATTCTCGTTTTATTATTCGCATAGTGCAATAGCTTCCGATCCCAAATTTTGGACAAATAACGATACACGCGGAAAAATGTAAACGCGACTACTGTACTAAAATTTATGAAATATGACAAGCGTTTCATTTTAAGGGCGAGAGCACAAAAGTTGAAGATCATCCAAAATTAAAATTTTCACGTAAATTGAAGAGATTCCTCGATAGCACACGAACAACTTGCCTGAAATCTTCGTCCTCCGTCAAAGTATGCGATCCCTCAAGTGCGACGGAATAGCAGCCACTCAGTGAAAAAAAGGACACGACGTGCCCAACACAGTCAGTTTTTAAGCGGGAAGCAACGAAAACGATAGAATGAGAGGCGTTCAAGCTCTCAAGAAAGAATTGCAAGTGTTGAGAAGTTTTCCCCTTCCTCCGAATACACGGTATTTTTCTGCGTTCCTTTCCCGAACTGCGGAATCAATCGCAGCCGGATACACTCGCATAACTCGTAAACGCGACACCTAAAGATTGTAAATCCAATCAATTTCTTAATACACTATCTGCGAACAAATATACGGAGAGGACGTTTTCGAGCAACTGCGCAGTTTCACGATCGTACCCACCCTGGCATAAATTACTGGTAAAATTGACAGAATCTCGACTTTCCATTTGACCAAAGCTTTCTAGGACAATCCAGAACCGTTCATACTCCTACTCACGAAGTACTTGGTCGTTTTTCAATCCCGCAGCAGTTCTGGACAGCTGAAACAATATCTCGAGGCTGTCAATGTTTTTGATGTCAGAAAAATCATCAGGTAAGGGAGCAACTTGTCAAATATGTCGGTGCTTCGGCAATGATTCTCGTATAAACAACCCAGACTGAATTTCTTTGAGAAATAATTTTCTTAAGTATCTTCCCACGTCGTTTGGACTTCGTGAGAGAACTTCACGTTGACCGTGATGATCACAAGTCCTACAATATTTCTCGAACGAATAGTTTCGTAGCTCGCGACAGCGAACCAGCATTTCATGATCTTCCGCGCAAATTTGGCACATTCCCTGAGAGCCCATGCGATTGGTCACGTATCCAACGTACACACTTTTTTTTCTACATTCCGACACGGTTAATATCTTTATTTCACTTTTTCAACACCCTGAAAGAAATTACAGATGGATGAGGCATCGAAACTTCGAGTTATCTTGCAGTACCCCATTGCAATCGTTCAGGGCTCCGTTGAACAGATGTGACAGGGATGGTCTCAAAAGAAGGTTCAATGCTCAAATAAACATAATCATACAAAAACAGGAATAAATGTTTTATCTGCCTGCACCCAAGGAACCTTTTCATGCGGGATGAGATCAGCGGGTGACATCAAAATGTCACCTACGCTCGCTCGTCTCTGCTCTGGACTTGAAGTACTTCAGCATTGATTGCATTCCCTTCGCTCTAACTTTCAGAGGGATCTGTGGGTTCGGGGGATCCTTAAACATGAATTAAACGCGATATACTTAGCTTCGAAGTTGAAAACACCGAATGCTCTCTTTCTTTTTGCTTCCAACTTTTTTCAGTCTTCCCATAATTCCTCGACACAGAAATTTCGAACCGTCAAGAGAAAACACTGACAAAAAGCTTCGAAGCAACATCGACATACGGAAATAAGGAGTCTTTACGATCATAAACCTCAGACAGAAGCTTCCAACGATCATCCATGCTCAAGAGGTCACAGCCGTTTCAATTGATTTCGATGCAACTAACCAGAACCCTCCAACGTAAAAAATAGTGAAATATGGACAGAAGTAATTAACCTTTTTGAAAGTGCCGCGATGCCGGACTGGTTCCCCGATAGTTTTTGGGCATCGATGAATTTTGTTTGCACGCAGATACAGGCACGCTCAGACAGGCACCACTTTACAATTAAAATTGATTTATTGTCACTAAAGAGAAATCAATTAAAAGAAAAATCAAAGGTAATCACTCAGGAAGGATCCCGATGACATCACATCCAAACCGAAACGCAAACACCCGCTCGCTCAAGAAGTGACTTTCATACGTTCTCCTAGAGAGCGGAAGGGGGCGCATAGGGGTCAACCTTAAATGCAGTTACTCTAGGACCAGCTGATCTACCGAGCACTACCAGCTGCTGGGTGCTCACGAACGTCGTCAGCGCTCAAAGCTTTGAAACCATTTTGAAATGCCAACGAAGCCATTTTAAAACAAAAAAGCATATTAAATAATTTGCATTAGCTTCAATTGTACTAGAACATAAAACATAGTTAGTTAATAAAGTGTGGATGCACAGTCAGCCGCGTAATGCATAAGTTCCTCCTGCAATTTACACAGTTCCGACTTGAACTGGAAAACCTACGGTACAGTACTATACGCGCGCATGCTTTGTGTCCGATAGTGAAAGGTTGCTACATTTTCGAAGAAAAAAATATTAGTATTGAACTTGACATGGCTATCGGTCCAGTCCTACTCAGTCATGAACTTCTGCACTGCGTGTCATTCATGTGATGTTGGAACGCCCACATAATTTTGCTTTCATCCGTGATTCTGAAGGAAATTGGAGACGAATCCGGTTCCCATTCAGTTACATAATATATATGAGATCTCTCCATTGCAGGATGGTGCCTTAAATTGTGTGGTTCTTGGAATAGTTGAGTGCTTGTATTCAACAAGATGTTCAGGTTCTTCATCCGTCTCATGTCTCAACATCCCCACCTTGTGAACTGGCTCTCGGAGACAAGATTCATTCGCCGAGCGGCCCAGATGACAGCCTTTACGCTTCTACGAGGACGAAATGCCTTGGATTCCGGGATTTCATTGAGGGCTAAGGAAAAAGCTATCAAGTTTCGTGAGGTTTTCACGGAGGAAGTCAGACGGGGATGGAGTGAGAGGCAAGGGAAATGAGATTGAACAATCCTAGTGATCCAGCTAGGCTACCCGGGTGATATTTTAGTTAAGAACTTAGAGAATGTTTCTCAGAAATAAACTGTATTTCCAGCGGAAAATGAGATTTTATCCTTCAAGCGAAGACCGAGGGTAGACTCCCAATCCCAGGAGAGAACAGGGTATGCACAAATACACCATTGCAGTGCTGCACTTGAAAAAAAAAATTTGTTTGCAGACCAAAATCCAGTACTGTATTCGCTCAGATTGATCAGATGCATCTCACACCATTTTCTGCAGCTCAAACAAGATGAGTTCTGACTTTAAGCCCACAAATAATTTCATGTGATGACTGATATATTCTCATGTTTCCTAATTTCAAACAGGTTTAACCTCAACCCCATCCGTGAGTTCTTCCGTACAGTATACTGTACCGATCAGTATCAATACTAGGGGTTCACTTCAGCACTGGTCTGATAGTAAGTATACAGGATAGTACAGTACTATATATTTACCAGCTTAATGGTTGTTCAGATGTGGCTTAAGCATTTCCAGAAACTTAAAAAATAAATCAAAAGTTGAACCTTCTGCAATTGGGCTTTGATAACAAATCTGATACAGTAGAATCTTGACTTCTTTTCTGCCCATACGCAGTAGCCACAATGTTCTTTTCGGTTTCTTAAAAAAAAATATTGCAACTTTTCTTGGTCCCAATTAATGGATTTGTTGAGAAAATCATTTACCAAAAAACAGTATCATATTTAGTGGTGGGTATCACGGATTGAATATTGTTGAACTTCTAATTTGTGAAGAGTTTCACTAATTTTGTAGTGAAGCAGCTGATATAAAAAAATTTATTCAAGACTTCCCCTTCCTTTTAAAAATGTACCAGATGTAATCCTTTCACCGGCAGAAGCTTGACACTTATTGATCTCAAGATGCACTTCAGAACCAATCATTGAAGAAGGAGCGCGTGTAATATTTGAGTAAATTCGTTGTCATCGCCTTGGAAACCTCAATTCCTTAGTCCGTTACACTCGCAGATGAAGAAAGCTTGGAAATTGAATCCCTTGAGCTGAGTGGCGATACTGAATCCTGTTTCTTGCTGTTTTCTTGGGATCCTTCCATTCCAACTTGAACCTTTTTGGTCATCTTCCTTCCATACTTCATCAGAAAATGGCGACCATGCGAAAATACCGCGACAGCAAAGGCAATTCTCATGATCACAAGCGAAGGAAATGTCATAGCCTTGGTTGCCCAATTGCTCCATGTTGCGAGCAGCAAAGTCTGGAACCCTGAGTAGATGGTGATCGATCCAACCCAGAGATGGGCCCATTTAGCGGAAGATACCAGATGCTCGGGGAACAGCCATGGATAAGACAAACAGCCGCCGATCATCACTTGCGCCGAAGCGGTGGCCATCGTGAAAGCACCGCTGATGGCGTGCCACGTGGCGAGATGAGGAAAATCATTAAGGTACTTGTTGTAGACGACTGCGAAACCTCCAACAAGAGCAGCACTATAGGCAATGTTTTGCATAAGCCAGTGGTAGTAAACTCTGTCCTTTCTCCCACCAAGTGACTGATACGGGTAGTGAAGACCGAATGTCAGTTGCCCTTCGGGCATCGCCAGACAGAACTGCAATCGATATCGTATTTTAAGAGAAAATAACTATTGATTTTCGCTTGACGAATAGTAAGATACAGTAATGATTTACAGCACTTCTATAAAAAAGCTATAGAAAGAATACAAAAATCATGGCACTTATGAACTACCAATCCAATTGATTTTCATATTTTGGTCATTTTTATGAAGTATAGTAATGGTCATTAACCTACCACTGACAAAGTGTCCCTAAGCAGGTAGGAAAGTTCACTTGAACTGCCGCACAAAAAGATAGAACACCTAAAATTAAATCCGAGGTTACTTAGGGAAATATGAAGCTTTCAAATAATGTTATGAACTTATCTACAGTAACAAACTGGAAATTTCATGTTTCTGCTCAAGTCCCACACACCCTTGAGTAACACTCACACTTCAGATTTTTAGCTATAAATAAACAAAGATTTTGGTTACTAAAATTCCTACTTGAAAAGCTGGGTTGGATACAAATCTAAATCCAAGCCCACTTGAAAATCCAATTCAATGGTGATATTTTTGTTGTATACAGTCAAACCCCGTTAAACCGCCAACGTTTGTGCAGCAGCATTTTGGCGGTTTAACGGGGAGATCCTGTTTGTTCTGCAAAAAACATTGGCGGTTGGCGGATAAACGGGGTTTTCCCATCCCTTCAAGCTTGAGAAGATTTGTTTGGGAAGAAAAAAATGGCGGGACGCGAGGGTGGCGGTCAATCGGGGGGCGGTTTAACGGGGTTCAACTGTACAAACAATATTAAAATTGGGTCAAATAGATGCCAAGTGAAAAGTTTCAACTTTTCAAAACACGTCACTTGAAATTTTTCTTTAATCAACTATGACACTAACCTCATTTCTTGCCAATTTTTTGGAACATTTTTTTTCACATGTTACTCGAGTAAATACAGTACAGTGTTTTAAATCATATTCCAAAGGAGTTGGAGCAAATCTGTAGACAAGTACAGTACAAGTGTATAGGCACTCCTTGAATAGATATACTGTACTGTACAGTACAGTATTCTTATCCAATTCTGATTAAATTGACCCATTCCATCTCTCCCTGATCTTATGAATTTATTCATCTTTTCTAAATTTAATAAATTCTTTTGTAGAACAAACACAATAGTTATACTGTACTATGATGCACCAATGTACCACTAGGATAAAATTTGAATTTCTGCAAAAATTATCAAGTACTGTATTAATACCGTAGCTCCAATTCTTATTTTCTTAAATGCACAGAAAGAGAAATTTAAGAATGTCCTGGAAATTCCAGTGAATACTACAGCAAATGGACTTCCATACTAATTTGATCAGAAGGCAAACAATGTCCAGATATACACCGTGTTCCGGATTACTGCAGTGAAGAATAATTTAATCCACTTATTTGATCTCAGCTTCCATCCCTGAATTTCTGAGACGCACTGTTGAAGAAGAGCTTTTGTCAAATGGATGCGAGCAGAAATTTTAAAAAAATTTTTCAGCAGAAATTCAGGAGTGAAGAGGTTCATCAGAAAAACCTGAAAAAATGAATACAGTAACTGGATTATTTTGCTTTGATCCCATCGCATTAAAAATCCACCCTGACCTTACGTTATAAATATTTTCATGCTGTTGATTAGGTAAGCTGAAGAAAGAACACTCCAACATAGATCACAAGATCTCAGACTGAATCACAATGGATTACTGCAACATGGAACTGCTCAGCGCCTTCCAGCATACATCTTAATGAACGACTTCAATTCACACTCTACTCACTGCCACAGTAAGCAAGGATGGATGCCATGAGAAAAGGCTTGAAAACGAAGGCGGCGATAAATATAACATCAACGACGTTATCACAACAGACGCTAACCTCGTGACAGTCAACATGCTTCACAATGAACACCCTACAATGCGGGATGATACAAAAAACATTGGAAAATCATCTCGCAGACACACAAGTAGAAAAAAAATTGCTCACATTCCAGAACATTAAAATGTCGCTCAACACAGAAAAAATGCTGCATTGTACACCTCAGTTCATGCGAACACAATGCGCTCAATAGGCATTAACATAATTGAATGTCGAATGTATGAACGAAAGAAAACAGTCATTCTTGAAAACGTGTCAATTTTTTCACCACTCAGATATAACGCAACCAAAAACCGCAAAACGTATAAGTTATTCGGCTGCGACAGCAAGAATAGGAAGTCCACAAAACACCACTACCAAGTTCCACGAAAGCAACTTAGAAGGCTCGGCATAATAATTGCAGACTTTGTATTTAACGCCCAGTATGCCTATCAACAAGATCTCTTCTCGATCTGCCCAGCGAAATAAAACAAAATCAATACAGCGGTAAAACACGAACGTCGCCGTTCACCTTGCGGCGACGAAGAAAGCAAAACGTACAATACAGCACTGAAATGGCGGAAACGTGAAGGCTTCACCACGAAGTATGTACAGAACAGAATCCAACTGAAATACACCGTTCAGGGAATGGCTCCATCCAGAATTATGTGCGAAAACAGTGAGCAGAGCTTGCGGATTCTTGTTCTCATTTGTTTCCGTAATTCGAGTGTTCCCGCACGCTATGGACAGAATAAAATACTATTGAAGATACTACTGTACTAGAAAACACTGAACCCATTTTAAAATTAAAAATTTTAAGAAGCCAACAACATACGTAGACCATTTTAAAACACACGGCAAGAACTTGAATACATTTTATAAACCAATATCTGTTGAAAAAATGCTCAACCTCATTTCCGAGAATTTCTCTTCAAGGTTACTGTACTTCGAAGAATTCTGAAAAAAAAAAAAACATCTCGCCATGAAATCGAATGCAACGTCATTCGCGAAAAAAAGTACAATAAATTCATGAACAGAAAATAAATTCCCAAGAGGAAGATTTTCAAAAAATCTATAACCAACATCCAATCCCCTCTTCCTCCTCAATTACGAACCAGCGGTATCCTTCGATGACAAGCATGCGTTTTCGTAGCACAGAAACTCACCTCTGCTGCAGCAAGAACTGCGCCAATTGTATTTGGTTCGAAGCGCCACTGATGGTGATGATACGCTCTTCACTCATTTGACTTCCCGCCTCAATAGTAATACTCGCGCCGGAATCCATTCTGATCTTGCGAATCCTCGCACCGCCTTTCCCAATGATTGCCCCGGCCAACTGCAAGAGAAAGAAAAAAAATCGAATACATTTTCAACAAAAACCAAAAAAGAATTGCGATAAAAAAATACGAAAAGATGCATCAGAAATTTTTAAACTAACGAGACAGAAACGCTTTAAACAGAGAAACAATGAACTGAAAATGATTCGATATTACAGGGGTTCCCTTCAATCTGGCCCAAAAAGGCGACAGAAAGAATATGTCACAAAAATGTCCGTCTTTGAGTTTGACAGCACGAGAAGTTCTTCATACACAGCGAAAGTCCAGGATCTCACCGAAGTCCTCACAATGAAATTCAACTTTAATCGAATCATAAAAAGGAAGAAGTTCATGTGGACGGGAAAAAGCAAAGTTACTTACACCTTTAGGTATCGATACGCGTGTAGTTTCTTCGGCCATCGGCCCACCGAGACCCTCTCCGTATTGTTCGGAAAAGTCGTTCGGACGTCTGCGCATCATCCCGCCTCTTTGAGGATATCCATCGTGCTCGACACCGTACGGTCCCCTTGAAGACACAGATTGAAAAATAGCTAATTTTATTTCAAATCAACTGCAGATCATAAGCAGGTCGTAAATGTGATATCAAAATATTCAAAACGCAGAAGGACCCCTATCACACACCCGGACAAAAACTGCATTCAACTCTACGGATCGGTTTTCGTACTTCTCATTCGAGCCGCTTCCCAGTGGTCGATAATTATGAAACTGTCAAACTCCATTAAAATAAGCAACACAAATAAAGTAACACATAAAAATGCAGCAAGACACTGATTGTAAGATTAACACTGTACACGGAGCACATACTGTACTGAGGTTAAGAAGAACGACGTAACGCTTTTTCAAACCGTATTGCCGATTCCAATGTGAATACTGTGATACCATGCGCTCAAGTATAGATACGGCTTGGAATCCACAAGGAAAATACACGGGTTTCGCTCGAATCATTGTTTCCACACGAAGATCTACATCTTCTGAACTGGGTCGAGTACTACAGTAGAATTCGCAGGCAAATAAAAACTCTGCTGATGCACTTCCCATCACAAAAGTAGGATTTAAAATAAGGTTCGTACGTTTCTTTTCGGACCGAAATTCCGAAGATGGTCAGGCGGGGAGAAAAATTAACCTAATCTCAGGCACTAGTAAAGCACATACTCAGCTTCAACATAACATCCAAAAGTTCGACGGAAAAACTCGGAGATTAAAAATGCAGTAATTTGAATGATTACCCTCTCGGGCCGGGGGGAGGTCCACGATGATGGGGCATCCTCCTCCTCCTCCTCCTCCGCCACCACCACCACCGCCGCCGCTACCCCACTGATCAGATGGCGGCCCAAGCATTCCACCGCGAGGCATCGACCGGTTCGGGTCGCTCCATCCGCCATATTCGTAGGACAAAAATTCATCGAAGTTGTTCGAATCGTACAATTCTGCGTTTCCCCTCGGAGTAGCCTGAAAGATATTCATCCTCGTGAAATTGAGAGGCCATCAGAAAATTTCAAGTAACTTACATTTTTCAGATATCCCAAACATTTTTCAACACAAGCAAGAATCGTTTCCGTATCTCCGGCAATTTGGAGAACACGATCGGTAGATCTTGGACAATTTTCCCCGTAAATCTTGATGTTCGCACCGGTACTCTGTTGACCGCAGGAAGGGATACAGAATTAGGTTTTTCTAAACGTACATCTTAGTAACTAGACAACCAACACATCAGATTCAATTAATAGAAACTTTCAATTCTACAGGTAGAGCTGGAGTGACATTCACACTGAAATTATTCGTCCAATTTTTCCTCGGGATTTACGTTTTCACGTTAGCAAGACGAACTCGCTCAGATAAAAGCTTATCCAGTTCTCGATAAAGCTAGAGCATTAGAAGACAGAACTGTATAATCCACATACTCAATTCATGAAGCTTGAATGAAAAAAATATTTACATAATACGAAGAGTACCGAACATAATGAGAATTAATCAAAACGAGATATCGTCAGGTTTTTTTACCTCTCGCAATTCCTTGATTTGACAACCACCCTTGCCAATGATCGCACCAGCGTGAAGATGATGAATCAGCATGCGTATCTCGGTACCTCTTATGTTCGGACTTTTCAAACGGCTTACAACCTTAAACACAGATCTCGAGCGTGAGAAAAACGAAGGAAGAATTACACAAAAAATCTTACTTCGTCCAATGCAGGGATTGATTCTTTCAACACCTTCAAGGCATTCTCTTCATCCGACTGTATGGTCATAATCCTGCAATACAGAGGAACGAGTCAGATGCATTTTCAGAGAACACTCGGACGTGCTTCTGCATGGCCAAAGTAAGTATTTACGCCGCCGACCATGCCGAGAAAGTGGGTCGCGGAAATGACTGAAGCAGAGCACAGGAGTGTGATCCCTCCCTCACCCAGACATTCGAAAGGAATTTTCGGACAACTTGAAGGATTTAGAACATAACCCTCAAAATACAATAAGGATTTCTTCAGCTGAAGGTCCGAAGCTATGAAGGTAATCCTAAAAGAGACAGGGATGTTGAATCATCTTTCGGGCCTACCGTTCTGGTCCTATGCAGTCGGGAATAGAGATCGTGGCATTGTACTGGAGCATGGACGGAATCAAAGGGTAGATTCGAGACGGAAGGGAAATTTTCCAGAATCCAGGGGCGAATTATTCCGCAGGTTGGGGTTGTCACGGAGTCGCAGAGCCACGATCGGCGGAGCGTTGATGAATTGGTGGATCAGATATTCAATGGGAGAGAAAAACAACCATAGCAATCTTCCACAACACTAGCAATGAATGAATTCAAAAAAACCGCGGCGCAGTACGCATACAGGGAGAGTTATAAGTTACAACAAAATAAACTCACGTCCTTCCTCAAACGTGAAATATTTTGTCCGCCTTTCCCTATAACGGAGCCAGCGGCCTGAAAAACACGATTTTTGAGTGATGAATCAAAGCATCTTCACTGAGCAGGAGCATACCTTAGATGGGATAAGAAGTCGCACGGTCGTTTCCGCTCCCTTCACTCTTTTGTTTCCGGATGCGTCCGCCTCTGCCATACTGTTGGAATCCAATTCTCGCTTCATACCTAAAATATGATCACCGTTACATCAGAAAAACTGCGCAATCCATCCATAAAACGCCGAAAATATATGTTGTTTACGCACCACTCTGTGCCTGCATAAACACCGGATAACCACGGTCCGGAAACAACAAAAACCTCCTGAAAAACACAATCGCATTTCGTTACACAAGTCCAATCCTTCGATAAACGCATGAAATTCGAAACTTTTTTCTTACACCGAATACTCCACATTACAAACCCAGGCTTCACCGGAAAATGATAACGGCTTCACACCGGAGAAGTTGGCGTCGGCTCCTTCTTATAACTGGCGCCATGAAAGCAACTTCGACAAATATAGAGAGGGAGAAAGTTTCGCTCATTTCCGTATAGAGGACACTATCATGCTGATATAAGAAGCCCAATGATGCAATACTGTACACATTTTCAACGCGCTTCAGTACCCCCCGGATACTGCTTTACACTGTACTTGTACTGTACAGTATATAGTAATTGTGGTACGATATAGTATTCATAGTTGAACTCAGCAAAGCTTGCAAAGGACAGAGTATTCGGAGTTCTCCGATATTTTTGCATAAAGGCCCTGCTATATATTAACAGCAGTTGCCTATATACAGTATATATCGTCGTAGCTTATTTGCTGCGAAAATCTAATAATAATATTTATGGGCCCATCATCAGCACAATCTTCAACAAAAAATTACCGTATATTTTAGTCACAGATTGGAAACTTTTTCCTTGCACAAGTACTGTGTACTGCTGTAGCTCTGATTCATAGATCATTTGAAAATTATTGCTGCGTACATCTACTGCGCTGATATATATGTATATACACTGTATTTGTAATAATAAATTGACCCATTCGCAAACGCAAAAGCGTCTTATTCAACCCACAGCAGTATATGAATAATTCTTCTGCCGTTTCAGCTGCTGCTGCGAATTTAGAAAATCCATATAAACCATCATCAGAGAAAAATAATTAAAAAGAGTTATTGTTATTAGACCATTATGACAGTACGCATAGTATACATGCAGCTCATGATGTACATATACGAGTACACGGAGTACTGATACAGAATATACATATATATTATTCAGTATATGTGGAAAGTCTCAATCACGACAAAAATGATACGAAATATATATGATGCTTTGCTGATAATACTGTAACTCGTCAGCACTTATGTTTCGAGCACCCTTATTGCTGTTGCCTCAAAACGTATACCGCACATCAATTCACGAGAAATGTGCTGCGAACAAATTCGTGCTATATATACTGTACATCATTAAAATCCCTGGGCTCAATAAATATCTACCCGTGAGTAGCATCAGATATACAGCATAATTGTACTGTAATTTATTTCAATCAGCATCAATTTGATGGTCAGGTCTGACAACCCTCCCGTACTCTGAGACTGAATCTTCAGATTTTTTCCGATTATTGCGTTATTGAATGCGACAGGAGATTTTATTCAAAATAATTCAGTATTTAGCCATCAATGATTTCGAGAATGATTTCCTGTTGCCTTTCGTGATTTTCCGCAGTGATTTTAAAGATAAAGGCGCAAATCATATAATTTATTTCTGCTTCTGCTGCATACATACTGTATATCGTCTGTACCAGGTGCATTCAATTCCATGCAGGCTAAATACAGTAAGTTGTGTGAATTATGCTGATGCGTAAACAAAATACAAGTTAATTCGTATCATCCCTGATTCCCTGTCACGGAAGCTCCTTTTCAAATGCGCTAAATGTTTTCAGGAGAAGCGCGGGGACATTGGGCCGGGTGGGGGGGGGGGGGGGGGGGTACATAATTAGGGAAATCTTGAAACGATCGGCCATTGNATCATGTGGGGGGGGGGGGGGTTACATATATATATACAAGTGGATTATCACTAAAGCAATTTTAAAATAAATTTTTGTCTGGTCCCATGATTTTCTCTTTTCATGCACGACATGGGGAGGTATACTATATACTGTACAATATTTGACGCTTGGATGATGTTCCAGCAGTTATCCATGCAGGTTCAGCTGCTGCATCCCAAGTGTCATTTAAGATACAGCATGTACTGTATCTATAGCAGTGCTTACTGTTTATGCAAAGCTGTATTTTGGCAGCATATACAGTAAAGTATTGTAAAGAGTATTTAGCTTACAATAAAGTACGGTGTACACTGCACAGTACAAAAGATAAGAGCATAAGAGATGACGGCAGCGGCTGCTGGAGGGTTGTGAGGCATTCAACTTTCCCACCTTTTTAAACACGCACCCTGGCTTGTCCGTTCTTGTTTTCTTTCAGTGCTGAAAACTTCTCAGCCCAAAAAGTCAATGAGACGGGATAATTGCGCGGTGATTTACTCGATAGTTCGTTGATCTCGTCGAATTTCGTTGCTTCCATCATTTGGGATCCACGGGCAGTTGTACTTGTGGAGCCGGTTGTTCTCACTGATTTGTGTACATCGAAGTGAATCTATTTGGATTGCTCAGAATTAAATCAGTTTAGCTTACCGATACTGTTTCTGGCGCAGGTACGATTTGTTGCTCGATGGCTGGAAAGCGCCGACTGCGAATGATTGCCCAGCTTCTTTTGAGGTGGGGACGCAACGTAGTGTCGGAGCGTTGGTAGTCGAAGTTCCGATTGAGATACTTCCCCCCCGCCCCCCGTTTTTCGCGTATTATCTTCGACTGTGCTTGAGCGGAGTAGCTGCATTGTACGGCTGTTTCCATGGCCGACGAGTTTTCGCAAGCAACGTTGAAAATGGTCGTTGGCCAGATTTGCCAAACCATCGGATGGCATTCGATAAATGTTACTCCGTTGAATATTTTGGTGGATATCCTTGGTCAGTATATGACGGAATTCGGGAAACTCATTCACGCATACTCAGAACATGGTGAGACAGAAGTGCATAAAGCTTGTGTTATTCCTTTTTCAAATTTGAGTTTCATTTCGAAGGAAACCGGACGATGGTCATGCTTCCCGATATTGCGAAAGCGTTGGATACCATGGGAGTCTCTCTTTCAGACTTGGAAGACTACGTGAATAACGTAGAGTCGACGTCGCTTCCTCCAAAAATTCCCAAATACCCGGCGTCGAAGGAATCAAATTTGAATTTCCTCAAGCCCGGCAGTCGTGAGGTCGTTCTTCGACCGATTTACATCCACGATCACTTGCCACCAATGTATCCTGAAGCTCATGGTTTGTAGGCTTCCGATTTTTCGTCTTCATTTGTTGATGAAATGATTGTTTGCAGAAGATACCAGTTCCTTATGCCAGTCGCAGACTCAGATTGATACCGTTGATTCAAGCACTTACGCGCTTGGTGATTTACAACCGGAATGTACAGCCATGGTGAATGGAATCTCAAAAATCGAAAACACTTTGTCAATGGAAGCAGCTGCAACGATCGCAAGACGTATGAGGTGTGTATGTGCTGATTCTATGGTATTTTATGCCCGTTTTTTCTAGTGTCCGGTGGTCTTTACCTGTTTCGAATGCCTTTAAATCTTGGGATCAATTCAGGCCATATTCCGTTGCAACAAATGACGTTAATACCTTATACAGTATCTTCGTGTCCCCAAAGTTTAAATTGATCGTTGAAAAAAAAATTGTTGGTTATGAATTTGCATGCTTTATCGCATGTATCTTCGTTGAAAAAAATAGATAATGGAGAGGAAACTTGTAAAAGATGGATCTCGAGTCGGACGTTCTATGTTCTAATGCATTTAATCGTGGTTTTTTTTAGAGTTGAAAAACATGATTCATGTTCTAGATGAGTGGCAAAATATTTTCTGAAAGATTTTCGTGCGGCTTTTCCTTTGTTGTTGTGAACAATTTTATTTTCCTTGAATTTGGCGTTTAAGCGAACTAATGCGTTCATTCTCCCGATCCTCAGCTTCATTATCTTGAGACAACTAAGTTTTTCTTCAGAAGAATGTTTGTTGCCCCCCCCCCCCCCCCCGCCCCCACCCTC